TTTCAAAAAGTAATCATGACTTTCATGCATGTATAAAATCAAGACATCATTTAATGAGAAAAAAAAACAAAAAAGATTCTAGGACTATTTTGAAAAGCATTTGAGAAGCTAAATATTTATAGGTAACTTAATAACCCTAAGCTTTGAGATTCTTTCCCACTGGACAAAACTATGTGCATCCCTGTGGGATGAAAAATGTGCATGTTAACCTGAGACTTCAATAACTATTCCATATTTAATCAGTAGACTTAACAGGTCACATCTGTTCAGAGACTGGAGTGACATCAGGGGCACATAAATGAGTAAAGGAATAATGGGGAGGGGTGGAAGAGTATGTCAAACCCCATTGCTTCTCTCTCCAATGATCAACCATAAAATACTCTTTCCTCATTAGTATTTCAGAGAGTGGGTTTTCCTTGGGAAAACGCAAAGAAGTGCAGAGTGCTGCCCACCAGGCTGTGGAAAAAGGACAGATACTACAAGGAGCTGAGCCGCATCTGGACATTAGATTATGGATCAAGGAAAGGGATGCCTACAAGAACTCAGAGAGGAGCACACTGGGCAGAGCGAGGGCAGGTGAGCAGCTATGCTGACCACAGAAGCTTTCAAGCACCTGTTGAAAGCACTCATCTCTATTCCCTTGTAGAAGGATGAAAAACATAACGACCACCCCCCCCCCCCCAGGAGCTGCATGAAATGCATCAAGAGAATCCTCCTCCTTCCATCCTGCAACTGGACATGCCTCACACTTCCGCTTGTAGTCTCATGGTGCTTGGGCAGCCTCTGCTGTTCCCCAGCCCCCACATTCATTTCCCATACCAGGAAGGCAAAAGCTTTCCCAAATGAACCCCCACTCTCCCCCAACTCCTCCATGACTTTGGCTGCGTCTCTCTGCCCTGAACTTGTGACCAACCTGCTGCAAGGTAGGCTCAGAAAGTGGTCGTTTTGTTTCTTCCACAGTGAGGTGAGAAGGGAGAAGGGTGGGGATGGATGTTGGTGCTCATAAACCTACGATCCCTGTGCTGTTGCTGTGTTCCTGATTCTATTCCCTGAGAGAGGTTACAAACGCTAGGCCTGTCCTGATAGGGTCGAGGATGTTTACAATGGGCACTTCACAGGGTTCTTCTTTATCCTGCTGCAGGGCCTGACGCACCAGTGTCAGATCCATGACAGGCATTCGTCTCAGAGAACAGGTGTCTGTACCAGCAGGTGCCCTCGCAGCTCTTATCCGATCCACGTTCTGTTTATTCCTACCAAGATGGCCAGTCTTCAGGAGTGTCCTGAACAGGAAAGAAGTTAGCTTCAGGTGTATCGTGGTCAGGTGAGACCAGGGAGGCGACTCGACAACACACATGACATAACAGAATTACTTGTAGATCCAGAGAGAAGACAGAAGCACATCTCACGGGGCCAAATGAACGGGGAAAGCCACCCTGGACCTACACTCAACCAGTGGATGTGAGGCAAGAGTGAGGGAGGACTCAGTGGGCCAAAACCTTCACTGGGGTCCTGGTGTTTCCCAACCAGGAGCCCCTTGAGGAGGCCAATCTGCTGTGTTTAAAGCGAGCAGGCGTGAGTTCGAGGGAGTCAGACTCTGAGAAGTGGTCGCTGCAGTGTAACTGCCTGGTCTAGGTAGAGTGTGGGAGTTAGCAGGGAGAGCCAAGCAGTTGTACCGAGCTGACAGATAACCAGGTCACCACTGTGAGAAACTGGAGGAGGCAGAGAACCAGGAGTATCCAGGGTGACAGAGCCCCGCTGCTGGTATGAGAAAGTTAAAGAAAGCAGATTTCACATGGATGCCAAGGCAACAGAGAACTGTAAGAATTCACTACAGTCTGGCAGGGGCGTGAGCAAATGCTGATCTATTTCTATGGGGAATGGTAGAAAGTTAAGGTGCTTCTGTCCCAGGATGCTGGTTTTCCTCTGAAAATATCATCAGCTGACAGTTGAGGAAGACAAGGGGATGGGAGGGGAGAATTACAGGTATCATCGGGACTTTGATGAGGAGGAAAGGCCAGAGTGCAAGAGTGAGAGGCACGCGCACCCTGGCAGAAGCCACGTCCCCATGTGCCTACATGGGTGGCACAACAGCAAGAACAGCACCTGATAATTATTGAAAGTTACACATGTGGTAGGTAGCCTTCTACATTTCGTACCACGGCTGACCCCCACGACACCCCCGCGAGGTGAGTGCTACTTTAATTCACATTTTGCAGCTCGGTACATGGAGGCTGAGCAACGTCAATGTGCCTAGGGATACCCATGGAGTAAGCAGCAAACGTGGGCTGATGTTAGTCTGGTCTCCAAAGCCCAGGCTGGCACTGGGCAGTCACTTACAAAGTACTTGCTGACGATGTAGATGAAAGAGGAGCTGTTGCCAGAGAAGGCTCAGAAGAACCTAAATGTAGTCGTTCAGTTCATATTCAGCTTCGCACAAGGAGCCTGACACTTATATCTTGGTCATGAGGCAGGGCACTCTGCAAAAACTAAAATAAAATCTCTAGTACTGGGTTTCTCATACACAGCCAATTGCCTAAAAAAAAAAAATCCACATTTGGGCCCCTCAAAGAACCCACTTTTCTGTAATGACTGTGGCATCTTCCTTCTTTTCTGAGTGGGCAGTGCCTGAGTGGCACAGAAAAGCTATGTGTTGAATATCTGTGGGACAAACACAGTGTGTAACAGGAGGTGGTTGTCCTACAACACACGTAAAGTGCTTACATGTAGCTTAGAGAGCAGGCCAATAGCCCTTACAGAAACACAGATGTCTGTGGCTGATTCTAAATTACTTCTGCACAGAAAGTGTAATGTTCTGTGAGGTTTTAATTGGTTGAAATTATACCTTAGGAGCAGCTAGCATTCTGGTTATCAGGAATTCTCACGCCAAGGGTAGTCAGCCAGCATCACACCAGAAAGGCCACATTCCAGAGACAGAGGCACAAATACATTAACCAGATGACACCAGAGGTTTTGGCAATTAATCAGGGGGAGTGTCAAACATAGGTTTTTACTGGCAAAATGACAATTTATTAATTATTATGTATTTTACAGATGGTCTGTTAAAAAAAATCAGGATAGATGAATTGGACAAAAATGCTTCGACAGAGTGCTCTCCGTTCTTGAATAACCACTTCTAAAAATTCAAGAAGTCCTCAGTCTTGGGAGATGCCCTCTGGGGCTTCAACCCTATTGTCCTGGCTCTCCCATTGGTCTGGGGGAGGATTTCTGTTTTCCAGTTGCTGATGACTATGCTGGTAAGAGAATCCAGTTGTTTCTCAGCTCTCTAGAGCAAGGTGGGGTCAGAGTCCCCAGATCTGCACTCTGTAAGACAACACTCCCTAGCCAAGTGTGCTAAGAGCATTAAAATGTGGCTGGTTTAAATTGTTTAAAAAAATTCTCTATTTGAAGGTAACACGTTAAACATACAATATTTTATTATACTGAGTGCACTTCTACATAAGTCTTTACAACATACAGAATTAAAATAGGATACCACAGGACGGCACCGCGGCTCACTAGGCTAATCCTCCGCCTTGCGGCGCCGGCACACCGGGTTCTAGTCCCGGTCAGGGCGCCGGATTCTGTCCCGGTTGCCCCTCTTCCAGGCCAGCTCTCTGCTGTGGCCAGGGAGTGCAGCGGAGGATGGCCCAAGTGCTTGGGCCCTGCACCCCATGGGAGACCAGGAGAAGTACCTGGCTCCTGCCATAGGATCAAAAAAAAAAAAAAAAAAAAAATAGGATACCACAATTCTTCACTTCATTCTCTGTTTTTAACGTAGCTACGAGAGAAATCTCAAATACATTTGTGGCACGGGTGCTATTTCCATAGGACAGTACCGACCTAGGAAAGAGAGCTCGGACTTCAAGATCGTAGGATGACTGAAATTAACTGGCTGTGCCTGTCTCCTGATGCATACTTAATAATTTTAAATCGGGGCAATATTTAGTCTGACATTATCTTTTAACCCGGTGAAGGCATTATCGGGTCCTTAACCCACCTTGAACCCTGTTGGCCACGGTATCAGAAAGCACCAGCAGTTACACGTGACCAAATGTCTCAGCTGTCAACCGTGGGGGGTGAGGAACGCAGATAATGCGAGAGATGACGTCGGGAGCAAGCAGGTGCCACGCTGTCTTAAACCTACCACCTGTACTCTCACGACACCCTATAGAGAGGGGAACACCACTATTAGTACTAGGGACTGCTCTTACTGATAGTCCCCATTTGACTTCTTGCTGATCTAAGTGCGACTGGAGATTTTCCGTCTCAAAGGCAGAAGCCGGCAATACCCACAACCGCCAGCGGCTGCCTCCGCCCAGCGCCACTCGGGCCCGCGCGGCGCAGCCAATGAGGGCTGCGGAGGCGACAGACGTCAGTCCCTCCAAAAGCCCTCGCTAATTTCCGCCCAGCTTTCTCTCGCCCGGCCCCTGTACTGGGGTATTGGGCTGAAGCCACCGGCGGCCATCTTGGGTGCGGGCGGAAATGAAATTAAAACTCACATAGTAAAAGCCAGAAAGTTCAAGTCGACAGCGAGTGGCACGTTCGACCCACAAGTCCAGAAAACAGACGTCGCAGAGCGACTAGGCGGCTGGAAGCAGTGAGGGAAACGCTAAGCTCGGCACCGGCGCCCATACTCAAGATGGCAGCTGCCTGAGAATCACCTGTGCGGGCGCTCTATCTCGGTTCCGGGTATGTTCGCCTCTCTGGTGGCGGCAGAGGGGTGAAGGCTGGCATTCCGTCCTGTTTCCGGGGCCGTCTCTAAGGTGTCGCAGGGACCCGACCCCAGAAGATTGTGGGTGTAGTGGGTACATCTCACGGGGGAGGCGAGGGTGGCTGGTGTCCACAGGGGGCGAAGAGGGGAACGGAGCCACGACCCCCGGCCTCCTCCCCCGCCGCCCTCCCGCAGGTAACTGGGAGCCCCGCGCTGCGTCCTCCGTCCGTGCGAGACCGGGCCGCGGGGCAGGGGGCTGCGACCCGGAGAGGAGGCGGTGGGCGCGCGCCCCGCTCGCGGGTCCGCGCTCGCCGCGGCGCCGGCTGCCGGTTGAGCTCCGCGCTCCACCGCCAAGCCGCGTCTCCTTGCTCTTTGCGGGGCGCCCTTCCACTCGGGGCTTCGCGGGAGATCGGGGCTCCCGAAGGAGGTCGGGGAGTCGGCCTCGCGGGGAGGTGTGGAAGGTGAGGGGCCAGCAAGCTAGAGCGCCTCCCGGCCCCTGCGCTGCCCGGCCGCGGTCTCGGCGTGCGGGCCGGGACGGTGCCCGGGGGAGCCTGGGGTCGCCTCTGCCTTTGGCAAGGAGGCTTTAGTCGCGTTCCAAGACCGGTGCCCGGGCCCCCGAGGCCCAGCTGGCCCGTGCCTTTGCGTGTAGGATAAAATGAGACATTGCACGGAAGGTTGTGTTTAGGAAACCATGTGAGCTAACAGAGTCGGATCCTGGATTTTGGAATCACGGTTAGTGTTGTATTAAAGGACGCGTGTGCATATCCAGTGATATCGCCAAGCTGAATCATACTTATTTTGGTCCGTAAAGACTTCGTGTATTGCTGCTCAGCCAGCAGTGCTGGACTGGATGCTGAGCCGTATCATAGGTTATCATTAGATACGGAGGTTTTCTGTTTTTCAACGCAGTGCACATCCTTCGAACTGACCCTGGAATCTTTATCTTTGGAACTTCAAGCCTAGGGAGCTAGGATTAAATAATCTGGATTAATTGCTGGATAAAACAGAGATTTTTTTTGAAGGACACAGGTTTCTTAGCTGAGTGTCCGAGTTGCCCGGGAAACTAAACAAGGGCTTTCGAAATCCACAGGTGTTCCAGAAACTTCGTGTGTTACCTAAGCAGGCAGAAAGGTGGAGAGAGGGAGGGAGGTAAACGGATCGTTACGGGGAAGACGGAGATGTATATTCAAGTCAGACACTGAATACTGAGTGTTTCCTTGTGGGGTGAGAGGCTAAATTCTGCAGAATCCCTGTGCTGTGAGATTAGAACGTCCTCTTCACCTTCTCCGGACTTTTCAGTTTCGAAGCTAAGGTTTTGTGTTTTCACTCCTTAAAACAGCAAAAAAAGAGAAAGTTTTGGAAGTCCAGGTGTTACCGTTTAGCTCTTAAATTTCAACAAGTTCATTTTAACGGAATTATTTTTAAAGTATTGGTTGTATCAACAGTATTTTTGCTCCTTTAGATACAAATACTCCTTTAGATACCCATGTGTGAAGTGAAGAATTAAGAGTTCCTAATGAAGGCATTCTCAAGCTGGAAGCAACAATGCATCTTCCTGGAATAAAGTTTGCACTGGACATAAAATATAACCCTGACACTCTGTCAGATCACACTGTATGTTGTTACTGGACATCTGTCAACTGTAGCCATGCTTTCACAATAAAATGGCAGCTTTTCTCATGAGTTTTTTGAAGAAACTGAGTAATCCCCTTTTCATTGATTAAAAAAATATATATTTTTAGCTTCTTTAAAAGACACAGAAAGAGAAACACACCAGAAAGAGAACTGTCATGTGCTGGCTCACTCCTCCTGTCCATCTGGGTCTTTCATGTGGGTGGCAGGAACCCAGCTGCTTGTGCCAGCTCCTGCTGCCTCCCAGAGTACACATTAACAGGAAGCTGGCTAGGGAAGGGACTGGAATCGGGTGCTCCAGTCTGGGGGTGCAGGTGCCCCAAGTGATGTCTTTTTTTTTTTTTTTGACAGGCAGAGTGGACAGTGAGAGAGACAGAGAGAAAGGTCTTCCTTTGCCGTTGGTTCACCCTCCAATGGCTGCCGCGGCTGGCGCCCTGCAGCCGGCGCACCGCGCTGATCCGATGGCAGGAGCCAGGAGCCAGGTGCTTTTCCTGGTTCTCCCATGGGTGCAGGGCCCAAGCACCTGGGCCATCCTCCACTGCACTCCCTGGCCACAGCAGAGAGCTGGCCTGGAAGAGGGGCAACCGGGACAGAATCCGGCGCCCCAACCGGGGCTAGAACCCGGTGTGCCGGCGCCGCTAGGCAGAGGATTAGCCTAGTGAGCCGTGGCGCCGGCCACCAAGTGATGTCTTTTTGCACCAGCACTCCTTGCCCCCTTTCATTTTTAAGTGACATTTTTTAGGGTGTTAAAATGCTTTCATAGCTCGAATTGTTGGTTATCCTGTAGTGAAGTCCATAATACTGGATCAAAAGTTCATGGATGCGATGAGGTCCAATAGTCCCACAAAGGAGTCTTTTGCTATTTAGAAATTGGTCAGTTATGGGCCCATTGCCGTTCTCTCTGCTGACTGCCATGCATCTAGCCAGGGAGCACTGCCCTGGACTCCTCACCGAGTTACCTCCTTTGTGGACTCCTAGTAAAACCAAACTGCAAGGGTTTCTGCCAAGGTCGTTCCGTGTTCTCAGTTTTGCTCCAGGTGTTGGTCTCCACAAGCTGTATTTTGTGGTTAAGAAGCCATCTAGACTCCCTTCAGGCGAATACTTCAGAGTAACACTTCAGCAGCTCATTCCTCTAGAGTAACCTGTCTTTCAGGCGGGAGTTAAGAAGTAGGTTTTTCCGTTTCTGAAATGGCAGTTGGTTTCACCCAGGCTGCTTGAGGGAAGGAAGGGGTGCTGAGTGTGAGTGAGGGAAGTGACTTTGAAGCCGGGCTTCCTGTACCTTTGAGATGGAGGGCAGTATTGTGCCCCTGTTACTGTGACTGAGCCACTGCCAGTGTGTGTTTTGCTTACTCTTCGCTGCCTTTCTCTGTGCTTGCCCAGCTTCCTGCTTTCGTGTGGCTTCTGCTTGCTCTAGCCCCAACTCTTCCTCCTGGTAACCCTCTGCCTTCAGCTGTTCCGGCAACAGAGGAAATATCTTCTTAGTTCAGATTCCTGGGGGGAGAAAGTGACCTGGTCAGTTTATCTCTTCATTCAGGCCATCTGTGAGTTGATGTGCTTTGGCCCAGGGTAGGTACTCTGTAACTGTGCCCTAAAAAGCCACTAGCATCTGGGTGCTAAACCTGACTCTCCCTGCTCAGCAGGAGGTGGCTACAGGCTGGACAGGCCCTACAAGGTAAGCTGCAGCACAGGGCAACTAACTGAGTTACTTTTCTTCACAATCCTGTATAAACTATTTGTAATTCCAGTAGAGGTGAATGTTCTATACAGTTTTTTAGAACTTTTTGAAAACTTCTCTATCATTCTTAGGAAAGATAAACTAGTTAGGTAGGCTTTTTTTTTTTTTCCCCCAAATCTGGGTTTGTTACAAAGCAAATAAACTTAGTTCCTACTCATGATACTTGTAGATGTGTGGGCGCTTTGAGATTTCATTTTAGGCCATTAAATACTCAGGTCACAGAGAAAGTGTTATAAGAAACTTGATCAGAGTCGGGGGTGATACAGGTGATCCAAGTAGAGGATTGATGTGTAACGATTATTGGGTATATGTTTATCTAAGGAAAAAGGTTTTTAACTGAAAATTTAAAGGTCTTTTTAGGATTTTTGGTTGTGTTATTTGGAAGTAATAACTTCCTTGACACATTGCCAGTTGTTAAGAACTCTTTATTTAAAAAATTTTTATGTTATGATAAAGCCAGAACCAAAAGCTGACAGCTACAGATTTTTCAGTTAATGTTGTTTGAGCTACACATGTTAAAAAAAAATTGAGGCAATATTGAATAATCTGAGATTTCCACATCAAAATGCAAGCACATGGTTTCTCATGATGAAAGGCGTCATCTGACGACCCTGGAACTTCTGTCCTGGGTGGAACCTTCTAGCAGTTCCTTTCATCCGAGTGCAGGTCCTCACACTGCTGGGCATCCGTTGCCTCTTATAACCGTATGAGTTTGTATCTGTGTTGCAAAGAATGGTGTGTTCATGTCATAGAAGATTTGGGAGGTGAAGGCAAGTGTGTTTTGTGTGTGTGTATAAAATTACCTGTAATCTGACCCCTGACAGCAAGCTTCTCCTTTATCGTAATTTTTCCATTTTCTTTTTTTATTATTTTTTTTATTTTTTATTTATTTTTTATTTTTTGACAGGCAGAGTGGACAGTGAGAGAGAGAGAGACAGAGAGAAAGGTCTTCCTTTGCCGTTGGTTCACCCTCCAATGGCCGCCGCGGCCGGCGCGCTGCGGCTGGCGCACCGCGCTGATCCGATGGCAGGAGCCAGGAGCCAGGTGCTTCTCCTGGTCTCCCATGGGGTGCAGGGCCCAAGCACCTGGGCCATCCTCCACTGCACTCCCTGGCCACAGCAGAGAGCTGGCCTGGAAGGGGGGCAACTGGGACAGAATCCGGTGCCCCAACCGGGACTAGAACCCGGTGTGCCGGTGCCGCAAGGCGGAGGATTAGCCTAGTGAGCCGCGGCGCCGGCCTCCATTTTCTATATATGTATAAATTGATGTATTTTTTAAAAAGATTTATTTATTTGAGAGGTAGAGTTACGGACAGAGGGAGAGACAGAGAGAAAGGTCTTCCATCCACTGGTTCACTCCTCAAGTGGCAGCAAAGGCTCGAGCTGGGCCAATCCAAAGCCAGGAGCCAGAAGCTTATTCCAGGTCTCCCATGTGGGCAGGGGCTCAAGCACTTGGGTCATCTTCCACTGCTTTCCCAGGCCAAAGCAGAAAGCTGGATTGGAAGAGGAGCTACCAGGATTTGAACAGCGCTCATATGGGATGTTGGCACTGCAGGCCGAAGCTGAGCCTACTATACCACAGCACCAGCCCTCTTGTATGTCTTTTTAAACCTTATTGAAGTATCATTAATATGGAAGAAGCTGAACATCAAGTATACAGTTTTGTGAGTTTTTCTTTTTGACAGGCAGAGTTAGACAGTGAGAGAGAGAGACAGAGAGAAAGGTCTTCCTTTCCATTGGTTCACCCCCCCAAATGGCTGCTATGGCCGGTGCGCTGCGCCGATCGGAAGCCAGGAGCCAGGTGCTTCCTCCTGGTCTCCCATGCTGGTGTAGGGCCCAAGCACCTGGGCCATCCTCCACTGCACTCCCCGGCCACAGCAGAGAGCTGGACTGGAAGAGGAGCAACCAGGACAGAATCCAGCGCCCCGACCGGGACTAGAACCTGGGGTGCCAGCACCGCAGGCGGAGGATTAGCCAAGTGAGCTGCGGCGCTGGCAAGTTTTGTGTTTTGACATTTGTAATCACCCAACTCCATCATCAAAATGAAGATGATATATCCATTCCTTCCAAGTTCCTCGTGTATCTCTTAGTATTCTTTTCTTCCCGCCGCCTCCTAACTGAGCCCCCTCCCCAGGCATCTACTGCAGTTTTCTTTCATAGGGTAGTTTGCATTTTCTGGAGTTTTATTTGTGTGGTGTGTTGGGTTTTGTTTGTCAGAGGTTATTCATTCCTGAAGTTTCCCTGTTGTTACCTAGCATAATTTTGAACATTAATGAGATGGAGCTTTTTCCCATGTTTATTGCCATTTGCATTTCTTCAGTGGCTTGTTTTCTTTCCCATCATTCTGTTGACCTTCAAGTGTTTTACTTGCGTTATAAGAGCTCTCCATTTGTTGACTTTTTAAGTCAGTGTTACAGATATTTTCCGAATTGTCTTGTTTTTCTTATAATTTTAAGTTACTTTAGGCATTCAGAAGTTTTCCTGTTTCTGAATAATCAAGTTTTGCCACCTTTTTCTTTTTGAGGTAGGAATGTAAGTGGGTTAGGGAGTATGAATTATTCCGTTTTTGCCTTTCCACTCTGAAACCGTGTGTGCTGGAGTTGAAAGAGGAGCAGTAACTGCCTAACTGGTAACATGCCGGTTCTCTGGAGGTGTTGTTAGTAAGCATCGCTGGTAACTTGCTGAGCATTTCCCATTTTTATTGTCCAATGTCTCCATTCAGAGGGTTGCACAAACTAGTAGTTTTGAGTGACTTGATATCGTCAGTATCTCTTGCTCATGTTGTAGACAGAGATTTAATGTTTGAAATGGTTTTCTGTTTTCTTTTAGGTATTCTTGGCTTAGAGGAGGCGCTTCAGTACTGCCTTACTGCTTAAGGGATGGGATCAGAGAACAGCGCTTTAAAGAGCTATACGCTGAAAGAACCGCCATTCACCTTGCCCTCTGGACTTGCTGTGTACCCCGCTGTCCTGCAGGATGGCAAATATGCTTCCGTCTTCGTGTATAAGAGAGAAAACGAAGACAAGGTTAATAAAGCTGCCAAGGTACCATAATAGGGGACGGCCCAATAGTTAGTACCTTTTACTATCTTGTTTTCTATTTTTAAAATGTGAAATTAAACAAGGTCAAGGGAGGGAAGGGTGTACAGAGTAGCAGTTTATTCATGAAAGCGTAGTGTCCCTCATGAGGCTATCTCCAGCTTCTGGGCTGCTGAGATAGCCATCACTGGAAGCCTTCATAAAACTCAGTGAGAGAAGTTGTCAGTCATCCTAGTGTATTTTTCGGGGAGAGCACTGGGGAGACGATTTTGTGTGGCTAGTAGAAATGGAGATGAATCTAGTTTAGCAAAATTGCTGTTAAGTATTGACAGCATTTTTTAAATTTATATTTATTTTTATTTTTTAATTTTTGACAGGCACAGTTAGACAGTAAGAGAGAGAGAGATAGGTCTTCCTTTTTCCGTTGGTTCACCCCCCAAGTGGCTGCTACGGCCGGCGCACTGCGCTGATGCGAAGCCAGGAGCCAGGTGCTTACCCTGGTTTCCCATGGGGTGCAGGGCCCAAGCACTTGGGCCATCCTCCACTGCCTTCCCGGGCCACAGCAGAGAGCTGGCCTGGAAGAGGGGCAACCGGGACAGAATCCGGCGCCCTGACCGGGACAAGAACCCGGTGTGCCAGCGTCACAGGCGGAGGATTAGCCTAGTGGTGCTGACCGACAGCATTTTGATTACTGTGCTAGTGATAGACGTGGAAATAAAATATTTTAGGAACTTCCTGATTTTTCTTCTCTTTCTGAAATACTGTGATGGCCTAAAAAGCACGTTAGATGGGAATGGTGCGTGGGGTGCCACAGAGGGAGCTTTGGACGGGAACAGTGGGCGGGGTGCCATAGAAGGAGCGTTGGACGGGAATGTGTGTGGGGTGCCACAGAGGGAGCATTGGACCCAGACCCTTCTTCTTGCTGAGGGGCCTTCCACAGGCCATTCCCCTCTGGAGGCTGCGGTCTCCTCCCGAGGAAAAGGGCCATTGTCACCATTGTACCCAGGGAGGGGTCCCGTGCTTTGGCCTGCTGGCTGATGTACTGTCAGGGAACCCCAGCCTCTTATTAGACAAAAGGACTCTAGCTTGTAGTGTAATTCAGTGCAACACCCAGGAGTATTAACCCTTCAGTGTTTACAGTGGCAGGCACACTATTTCCAGGTTAAACTTGATAGCTTTATTTCTGTATTACCTTGATTCTCCTTGTAATATCAACAGGCATGGGACATCTTTAAATGGTTTTACTTCTTTAAATGAGTATAAAGGATATGTTAGTAATCTAAAGTTGGCATTTCATTGGTCACACCAGGTAATGCTTTTGATGTTGTGTCTTTAATTAGGCCCAAATTAACAGTTATAAAAGGATTCCTCAGGAAAAAGATATGTGTAGCAGTCCTCTAAGGATGCATTTTCTAGTCATGTTTTTGGTAAAAACTAAGAGTAACTTTTTGTCAGTAAGACACTAGAGATTTATAATCCTTTATTTATTACAACTAATTTTTTTTTAACTTTTATTTAACAAATATAAATTTCCAAAGCACAGTTTATGGATTACAGTGGCTTCCCCGCCCCGCATAACTTCCCTCCCACTCGCAACCCTCCCATCTCCCACTCCCTCTCCCATTCCATTCACATCAAGATTCATTTTCAATTATCTTTATATACAGAAGACCAATTTAGTATACATTAAGTAAAGATTTCATCAGTTTGCACCCACACAGAAACACAAAGTGTAAAGTAAAGTACTGTTTGAGTACTATACAACTAATATTTTTAAAAATTGTATTACTCTTTAGGGAGCATGCACTAAGAAAGGTGAATAACTCAGATCATTTATTTATTTACTTGAGAGGTAGAGTTACAGACAGTGAGAGGGAGAGACAGAGAGAAAGGTCTTCCTTCCGTTGGTTCACTCCCCAAGTGGCCACAATGGCTGGAGCTGTGCCAATCCGAAGCCAGGAGCCAGGTGCTTCTTTGTTGTCTCCCATGCGGTTTCAGAGGCCCAAGCACTTAGGCCATCTTCCACTGCTTTCCCAGGCCATAGCAGAGAGCTGGGTCAGAAGAGAAGCAGCCAGGACTGGAACCAGCTCCCACAGGGGATGCTGGTGCCATAGGCAGAGGATTAACCTACTGCGCCATGGTGCCAGCCTCCATAAGTTATTTTAAAGAGAAAAACAAAAAAAATCTTTTTTTTTAAGCTTGAAAGAGGAGAGACAGAAAAAGAAAAAAGTCAGAGTGCTCCCATTGCTAGTTCACTCCTCAAATGCATGTAATGACTGGGTCTAGGCTGAAGCCAAAGCCCAGAACCAGGAATTTGATCCAGGTCTGCCACTTGAGTGGCAGGGACCCAACTACTTGAACCATCACCTGCTGTCTCCTAACAGGAGGCTGAATAAAGACTTCCCCTTAATGTTTGATGATTTCTGTGCTATACAAATTACAAAATTTTAGAGGAAAGATTTCTCCCCTTTACCATCTGTAGATACCCTTGTAAGACATGAATCAGTCTTTGCAAATAGTTCATATTGTCTCTTGTTCAGCCATCCCATGACTTTGCAAACCTCAGAGAAGAATTTGAGAAATTTGAGATAACAAAATAGTAATAGGAGTTTAGATTGTCAATGTTTCTGATGATCTCAAAAACAAGGTCATAGTACTTGAGAAGTGTATGTCATTCAGTGCATCTAATGTTAGGAATTTGACGCCATCAGTATCTGAAATACTGAAACAGTGTAGTCAGCTCACTTCACTCTCTAGAGTTTGGGTTTCTGATCAGCTTTGGCTAGTTTTGATGACTAGCTCAAACAGGTGTATTGTTTTCCTTGAAAATATTGGGTAACAATTTTAATCTTTACTGTTATAAATAGAAAATAACCGTCACAGTATACTGTTAGGCCTCTGAAATAACATGAAATGCAAGTATAAGCTCTGATTACAGAAAAACATGGGAAGTACTTGGGTCTGATGTAGCTTGTCATTCTCATCTCACTTTCCTGTTCAATTCATCAGCTATACTTAATAGTATAATTTGCTCACTGGTGATTACAACTCATTTCCTCCTCCCTCCCCCCTCCCTCCCTTGCTCCCTCTTTCTCTCTCTCTCTCTCTCTCTCCCTCTCCCTCTCTCCCTCTCTTTCTCCCTCTCTCTCTCCCTCTCTCACTTAAGAAAGCAATTATTTATATATTTGAAAGGCAGAGTTAGAGGAGAGGGATCTTCTATCTGCTGGTTCACTTCCGCAGTGGCCACAATGGCCAGGGCTGGGCAAGGCTGAAGGCAGGAACTAGGAGCCAGGAACTTCTTCCAGGTCTCTCACATGGGTTCAGAGGCCCAAGCACTTGGGCCATCTTCTACTGCTTTCCCAGGCCATTAGCAGGGAGCTGCATCAGAAGTGGAGCAGCCAGGACTCAACTGGTGCCTGTATGGGATGCCGGTATTGCAGGTGGTAGCTTAAAACACTATGCCACAATGCTGGCCCCTATGACTTATTTCTAATGAATTGCCTATAAGGAATGATAGATTCTAAATCAGAATTTGTTATTGTAGTTCACTGTAATTTAGTTAAGGCTTCATGGAAAGTGCAACCTTTTAAAAATGATTCCTAGGTGTCTTTATGCTAGGAATCATATAGGCATCCAGAAATAGGTATATAGATACTAGTAATCTGTATTGTTCTGGGAGACATTGTCCCTTTCTCCATAATGCACTCGGTTGTGGAAGGACTGGTTGACGTATTTGACAACCACATTGTGTGTGCTTCACAAAAAGGTGGAAGAGGTTTTTTTTTTTTTTTTTTTTTTTTTTTTTCCAGAGGCAGAACAGCAGTGAAAAGTTAAGCTTCTAAGGCTTGAGTTAATTCTCCAAATAGTTGTGTCATAACTGATTCTTGGAAAGTGGGAATAATTTATATTTCAGGCTAGAATCTCACATTTATGTTTTCTATGTGTGGAGATTAGTGTAAATAGTATTAATAGTCACAAATTATATGGTATTATTCATATTTAACAATAAATATTCTTAGAATAGTGCTTGAAGGATTAGCTTCTAGTGCAGTGAATGGGATTGTGATACGTATGTGTGTGTGTGTATTTTTTGGTTTTCATGTATGGTTCTTGGCTCATAACTCCCCAAGACAGGCCACAGAAGCTCAGTAGGTCATAAGACTCTCCTCATTCCAGGAAGGAAGGTGGAAGAATATGGAGAGACAAGCCTTGTGGAGCTTCCCCACCAGTGCCTGTGCAATGAGGTTTTCATAAAACATGCGTCTGGGTAGCTGACATGAGGACATTCCTGGAGGGTAGTGAGCTGGAGAGCGTATGGAAGCTCCTTGCTCCTTCCCTCATACCTCTCTCTGTTCCTCCTTTCATAAGTGCTTTCATAAGTAGTATTGTTTATAATAAGCCAGCAAATGTAAGGAAGTGTTTTCCTGGTGTTCTGCCAGCCACTCTGTGAGCAAATTGATTGAATCTCAAGGGCAGTTTAGACAATCTCAGCTTAAAGCCATAGCTAGTCAGTCAGGCACAGGTACCTGGGGCTTGTGACTGGTATCGGATTGTGGAGGGGTGTTGGGGGAGGCTCTCTTGGGGACAGAGCCCTTGTTTGTGGGGGTATGGTGCTGTCTGTCTCCAGGTAGATTGTATCAGAATTAAGTTGACTTAAAGGACACTCGGTTGCTTGCTTGCTGGTGGGGAGAAGTTGCCACACATTTTGGGATCACAGACGTCTTCTGTGTTGACTTTGTGGAGTGAGAGCAGAGAAGGAAAAAACGTGATTTTTCCAACAGAGGATGTAATAGGCATTAAGTAACTTTGAGGCAGATACTTGGAAGTCACTGTCATTCAACAACAGGTCACCTTTCTGCACCAGAACAAGAGACATTTATCTGTTCAGCTGATGTACACTTTGAGAAAATATTCCAGTTATGCAGAGTGCATCCCTTGCTCCCTCTGTTCTTTGGAGCAGCCAAGGCTTGATTCAAGAAATGTTTGTGTGTGATTCTTAACTGGTAGTCTTTCCTGTGAGTCTGTATGCATAATTTATGCATCCTATTGAATGGGCCAAAGGAGTAGCAAGTAAGGTTCTTACAAAGTTAAGTGCCTTGTGTAGAATCCTGCCTTGTGAATCATTTCTTCCTTTACTACACAAGCAGAATCTCACTTTGTATCAAATATTTTGCACATAAGGTAAAAAAAAAAAAAAAAAGAAGCAAAAGCAAAAATAAAACTTAAGATTTCATTCGTTCATTAGAGGTACATTTATTGACTGTATTTCCCTGCCAGCATGGTACCTGGGACGCTTCCTCTGACTTAGAAGTCTCCCCTGGTAACCAGGAGAAATCAAAGAGGGTCCATAAAATCAAAGGAAAATTTTGAGATCCCTGAGACATAAAAGCTGAACAAAGAATTTTCCCTGAACAATCAGAAGTGTTTCATGCTTGGCTTGTTAGCTATTTGGAATGATTCTTCAAGCACAGAGTTGAAGGAGGCTGCATAATTTTACATAGAATTTGCATCTCAGAGCACACTTGTAAGAAATTTTCCTCAATTAACCACACAACATACCATGTGCCAGCACTATTTTTGGCTCATGTTGATCTTTGCTGTATTTAATTGTATGAATTGTTTTAAATGCAGGTAAGCAAATTAATAAATCATAGTTACTAGTTACATTTGTACATATATTTTATATGAAAAATTTCTTCAATATTTTAAAATTATTTCTTGTTTATTGGAATGATCTAGGGGTGGGTAATAGCTTCCTTCTTAAGAAAATAAACAAGAGATCCTATTAGAGTTATTTCTAGAATTTGCAAAATTTGGAATTATAAGAAAAAGAAATTAGAAGGGTAAGCATTTGACATAATGGTTAAAATGCTGCTTGGGATGCCTGTATTCCATATGGAGTACCTGGGTTCAAATCCTGGCTCTGCTGATTCTAGCTTCTTAGGCGAACTCTGGAAGGCAACGGGTGATAGCTAAGGTAGTTTGGTCTCTGCCACCTATGTGGGAGACCCAGATTGAGTTCCAGGCTCTTGGCTTCCACCAGGCTCAGCCCTGGCTGTTGCAGACATTTGAAGAGTGAACTGGCAGATGAAAGATCTCTCTTTTTTTCTCTTTTCTTCCCTGCCTTTCAAATAAATAGAGAAGAAAAAAAAAAGAGAGAGAGAAATTGGAAAAACCAATCCACACATTGTCTTTTCCCCCTGCTCAGAAGTTAAGTTTGAGGCAACTAATATAAAAGTTGTGCCACTGCTGGGTGGACTCCTAATGCGATCTGTATTCTTCTAAGAAGGTATTTTGGAATGTTCAGTGCTAATTGCTAGTGAAAATGAAACCTAGTGTTTGATTGAAGGTTGTTCTCCATCTGTGTCCTCCCAGTCTGATGATTTGTTTACGAGGCTTCCCCAGTTACTAGTGAAATTGTACAGGGTGGACCCTAAAGCCTTAAGGTTGTGTAATTTCTTTTGGAGCGGCAGGGTAATTTCTAAGGAAAGCACCGTTCTGGCAGCTTAGGCTTTGCTGTAAAGACATGGTGAGATTATTATCTGGGCTGGGAATTTTAGACTCTGGTTCTCCTGAGTTACTCAAAAATTTCAGAAAATGCAGCATGGACAGGGATGGGAAAATTCAGAGCTTAAGGAGACCAACCAGAGGAGGAAAGAAACCCCACAGATTAACCTTCCATGTTCAGACACAAATTATCTTAAACTTTTCTGTGTGTACCATCTAAGTAACCAAGTGGGTAGAGCCAGTGCATCTGATAGGGGCACCGGTTCAAGTCCCAGCTGCTCCACTTCCAGTCCAGCTCGCTCCTAATGGCCTGGGAAAGCAGTGGAAGATGGCCCAAGTCCTTGGGTCCCTGCACTCACGTGGGAGACCCAGAAGAAGCTCCTGGCTGTTGCAGCCAGTTGGGGAGTGAACCAGTGGATGGAAGAGCTCTCTGTTTCTCCCTCCCTCTCTGTAACTCTGCCTTTCAAATAAATAAAATAAATCTTAAAAAAAAAGAAAAAAAGAAAAGAAACCAAGTGGGGGATGGGGAATAGTTCATATTAGGAGTTTTTAGAATTGGAAGATTTCATACCCAAGTGATTGTACAACATAATTCATTTAAGTTTTGGAAAAAATTTAAATTCATTTTTTATCTTTTGGTGTTTTCTGTTTTGTAGTTGTATTATAGTTTATATATATATATATATATATACACACACACACACACACACTGTATCTACTTATATACATGTAAGTGTCATGAGAGTACTTCAGAAAGTTTGTGGAAAAAAATAATTAAAAATAAGTTTATTTTGGTGCAAAAAATTTTGAAATCATTGCATAATTTTTAAATAATATACATTTTCCATGAACTTTTTGAAAACTTCATTTATAAGGTACTTGCCTGACATTTTTATGGGTGAGGTGTGAGAACAGAAAGTTTGGCGTTTTTCTAGAAATAAAAAGATAAAAGTTTAAAAGATGCTCAGCTTCTTTAAGAGAATTAAGTACTTGATAAAAAGGTAAAAAGAAAGAAAACAAGAAAAAATTGAAATCTTTTATAAAAGTGAGTAGTTCATGTTTACTGGTGATTCAGCCCTGGATAAGCTAAGGATAGTGCTTACATTTTTAAAGGGCTGTTAAAAAGAGGGGGAAGGAGGGGAGACTAGGTCACAGAGACTCTATAATCTTCAGAGCCTAAAATACCTGTACTATTTGATGCTCAGTGAACTTCTTAAATCTGTACATTCAAGATCTGCCCAAATAGAAGTTTCCAGCCATTATCTTATTTATACCCTTTCTTCTTTTTTTCTTGTTTGGGGAACTTCAGTTGTTTGCACTAGATCTTTTATTATTGTTACACAGATTCCAAAAACTTTGATAATTTTTTTAAAAATCCTTTTTGTTCTTCAGATTGATTAACATCTTTAAGATTCACTGACTCTTTCTGAGTCATTCTGTTCCTGAGCCCATATTTTTAATTTTAAATTTCCAGCATTTTAATATTTATTTCTAAAATTTCCATGTAGTTATTTTACATAACTTCCATTTTTCTGCTGAGAACATCTATCTTCTATTTGTTTCATAACTGTTTTCCTTTATCTCTAGGAATGTGATTATAATAACCACTGTAAGTTTTTCTGATAATTCTAATTTCTGGGTCATTTTAAGGTTGATAGTTTTGGGTTATTTTTCCACTAAGAGTAGATCACATTTTCATTGTTTTTGGTGTGTTAAGTAGACATTTTGGATTGCATCATGGACTTCTGAATCTCAAGTTACATAGATTCTTGGTTCTGTTATAGTCTTCTGGAGAATGTTTAATCCCCTTAGGCTCAAACTTCAAGTTTTTGAACTCTCCTCCCGTGTTTCCTGTAAACAATCGTTTAAACTTAGTTTGTTCCTCAAAACTTTGCTCTGCTAATTTGGGTCTCTCCTTGCATAACTGGCCCAGGGGTTGAGTCTGAGAATTTGTGGGAGTGCAGAAAATTGGATTTTGTCCTTCTCCCACTGTCTTCCTTCTGGGGTATCCTCCTTATACTCTGGCCTGCTAGGTTGCTTTCTGCGATTCTTGGCCAGAAAGATGGCAAAGTTTTTAGTGGAGTTGAAGCACCTTTGCTACACTGCTCTGCAGCTTAGGCCTGCATTCAGTGCCTGGCTCTTAGAGTCCGCTGTTGTTTCTGACCCTTTGTTCAGAGATTATGTAGTCAATTGTTAGGTCTGGGCTCCTAGGGGGCTTACATTGCCATAATGGAACTGGAAGTCTTTGTGGAGTTTAAGTGTTGGTAAGTTGCAGAAAGTCAGAACATAAAGTTGTGGGTCCTCTTTTATCTACCAAAAATTTGGAAGAAGGTAGGGAGCTTGAAAGGACTTTGAATGCAAGTACACACTCTTCTTTTTACCATGACTTATATGAAAATATAGTTAATCTGGCTTTTGAATCATTAACTTCATCACCTCTTTTGTCTGTATTTTTGAAGCACTTGAAGACACTTCGTCACCCTTGCTTGCTAAGATTTTTATCCTGTACTGTGGAAGCAGATGGCATTCATCTTGTCACTGAGCGCGTGCAACCCCTGGAAGGAGCTTTGGAAACATTGTCTTCTGCAGAGGTCTGCGCTGGGATTTATGACATATTGCTGGCTCTTATCTTCCTTCATGACAGAGTAAGTACCCTGCACAATGTGCCTCACAAGCTGTGATGTAGACCGGGGGTTGATGTCTAGGGCGGTACTTGTGTGTATAGAAATTAGTAAGTGATTATAGTATTATTACTAGAAAATTTCCTGAGAGAACAGTGACACATTAGAAGACATCTAAGGTTTTGGGATTGGCAACTGGTTCTTTGTCCCTGGGCAGTTACTGTGCTTTACTTCTAAGTTTGGGATAAGTCTGTACTGAAAAATACCTACAGCTGGTATTTGTTGTTAAGACAAAGGAAAAAGGTTTAGCATCAGCGCTGCTATAGACCAAAGTTGCTATTTGTTTTCAGGAGTTTTGTCTCATTAAATTTTTTTTAATTTGTTTATTTGAGAGGCAGAGAAAGAGACAGATAGATACAGACAGAGCTCCTACCCGCTGAGTAACTCCCCAAATGTCCACAATGGCTTGGGCTAGGCCATGCTGAAGCCAAGAGCTGTTATCAGTACAGGTCTCCCATTTGCTTAGCAGGATCCGACTACTTAAGCCATCACCTGCTGCCTCCCAGGGTCTGCATTAGCGGAAGACTAGACTCAGGAGCAGCCAAGACTTGAACCCAAACACTCTGATATGGGAAGTGGGTGTCTTGACTGGTACGCCAAACACACTGCCCCACATTTTGTATTCTGAAGGGAAAAATGACCATGTCTTAGGAGGAGACAAAATTTATATACATCCTTCCTCATTGGTGTGGGAAGGACCGGTTGAGAGTCCCAAAACACATTATGGTATAACCACTATGCCTGGCTCCTCCATGAAGCTTGCCATTAACTATAATCTGGTGGTTCCTGTGTGTATTTCTGATCTGTTTCTTGATACTGGTGCTGAATTATTGTTTCTTAATGGTGTTAGTATTCTGAAGCATTAAGGTTTCGACAGCTCCCATGATTATAAATCATCAGTCACAGAAACACTTGAATTTGACTCAACATATGTTTTAAACTTTTTTTCTGTTCATGGGAGAAGGACATTTCAGATATATTTACGGGTTCACGTAATAGCCAGAACAGTTAATACAGTTACTGGGGAAGAAAACATTCTTTGCTGGAGAAAGGACATGCACATGGGAAAAGCTGGAACAATGTGCAATTGCATGCAGGGACAAGTAAATGTCTCCTACCCTTGAATTCACTGCCCTAATTCTTCTCCCCAAAGACAACCGTAGTAATGATTGTATTATATTCCAGAGATGTTCTTTTTGCATATAAAGCATCAATCCATGTGCTTATTCTCTTTTTTCTCGAACATACTAGACATATTAGTCTCAACTTTGCTTTTATAATGTTCTATATAAAACTATGTACAGGAGCCAGGGCTGTGGTGCAGCAGGTTGAAGGTCTGACCTGTAGTGCTGGCATCCCATATGGATACCAGTTCGAATCCCAGCTGCTCTATTTCTGACCCAGCTCCCTAATAATGTGCCTGGGAGGGCAGCGTAGGATGGCCTAGGTCCTTGGGCTTTTGTACCCACGTGGGAGACCCAGAATAAGCTGGCTCCTGGCTTCTAATTTGCTCAGCTGTGCCCACTGCAGCCATTTGGGGAGTGAATCAGCCAATGAAAGACCTCTCTCTGTCACTCTGTCTTTCAAATAAATAAAATCATTAAAAAAAAAAAAAAACAACCCACTACATCCAATCATTTCGTGGGTGGGTCTTTAAAGTGCTCATTTGTCTACTGGAGTCATTTCTGGTTTAAAAAAAAATTTGAATACTTGATCCCTGTTCTCATTTTCTCCCTTCCTCTGACTTATTTGTACTATTTTTAATAGTTTTAAAATTGGCTCTTCTATGGTCTGTGGGATATTTCTGGTGGTCCTTATCTTTCCATTTTCCTCTTCTTCAGGCAGAATTTTTTAATGCCTACTGACAAGATTTCAGGTGAAGTGGATCTGGGTTCGTGATAGAATGTAGGTGAGAAAGAACATAGAGGAGAAAATTAATAAAATAATCTATGGGAGCAAAGCCAAATTTTATCTTTAAAGGCATTGGAAGCAAATAAAAGAAGCTATAAAGACTTGTAAATTTATGTTTAAGGACACATATTGTTATATCTTAATGGTAGCCGTCACAAAGCACACCGGACACCGGAGTAAGGGAAAGGGTTTATTGGGGAACACCCTACAGACCAGAGTGAAGGGACGGCGAAGGAAAAAGAGAGAAAGAGAGTATAAGAGAGAAACAGAGAGGAGAGGAGCTAGCAAGGAGAGAAGATAGAGCAGAGAAGAGAGAGGAGAGCAGAGCCAAGAGCCCAGAGGAGGAGGCTAGAGAGAGGAACCGAGAGAGAGCAGGAGAGAAGGGCCAAGAGAACACGTGTTCAGGAACAGGCCCTTTTAAAACTTTGCCTGAGGGCGGGCAGGGAAGCAGGAGCAGGGAATCCCATTAGGATGGGGGTGGAACCTGGCTCAGGTAGCTGGGCCATGCGGCCACCTGGCTACAACTGCACCAGTTTCCTAACATATAACTCCTGCCTCTCACAGAGATTGGGAGGTGATGGTGTCTGTGCAGTGGCTGTAGTGTCTTTATTAACCTGCCTACAAGAAAACAAGGCTACCCATTGCATTTTTCCTTTTTCTGACGTCATTCAGTTTGTTGTTCTTTTAAGTCTTAGTTCCATTTATTACTCCAAAGTGGGAAGGCTTATCATAATCATTTTAGTTGATCAGTATTTAGGTTTAAACAACTTCTACTTCAGAAATTGGAGTGGCAGTCTTCCTATTCTTTTTTCCAGGGACACCTAACTCACAACAACGTCTGCTTATCATCTGTGTTTGTGAGTGACGATGGGCACTGGAAGCTAGGTGGAATGGAGACTGTGTGCAAGGTTCCGCAGGCCACACCAGAGGTAAGCCCCACAGCAGGCTCTGTCGCAGTTCAGGAGCTGGTAGCCTCTTGGCATGTGGTTCTGTCTTGCCTAGGCACTCTCCTTCTGTCTTAGTGCATGCTCAGACTTGGGAACCTGGATTTCTTGTCAGTTCCCATGTTTATAGAATGGTGGATTTCATCCCTCAGTCACCAGGCGTTATAGATTCCTTTCTCCTAATCTTGTAGATGAAAAATCTGGACTAAAGAGGAGTAAAATGGTTTGGTCAGATATAATTAAACTTAGTCCCTCGTCCCTGCTTCTTGTCCTGCCCTGTCTTCCTTTGGTCATACCACTTAATGCTTAACATTGAAATGACCTGTATGAGTCTTCTTCTGTCCCTGTGGTTGAGCTTCTTGAAGGTGTGATAGTCTCTTACATTTATCTTTATATTTCTACCTATACTGGTGCTTGGTACGTATTAGTATTGGGTTTTGTTCTTTGAATACTCATCCAAGTTGCTGGAAGTCACACATTATGTCCCAGCAACTGGAATTAGGCCCCATGCGTCTTAACTCCTCCTAATGGCTGTGCTGTTACCTATGGTAGTGCTTATACTTTTGTCTGACAGATCTACATGTTTCCCCCCAAGTTGACAGTCCCTTCCTGTTGTTTGTTTTGTGTGTTTTTTCCCCCACCATTTTTCATGTTGCTATTGGACTTAATCTTTCTAGAAAAAGAAAAAAAAAAAAGCTACTTCCACTGTAGTATCCCTAATGACGAAGTGGTTGCTCACTGTTGGAAACCATGTTCTCTTATGTGCTGCTTCCACACTTTATTGGGCCTTGTCTAAAGTGCACCTTCATGGTCTCTCGCTCACCTCAAATGGTATAACTACTACGAAGATCTCTCTCTAATTGTTTCTGCCACTCCATGACTTTCTTCTCTGAATCCATCTTGTGTCTAATTAGCATAACCGCATGTAATCCTTTCTGTGGGATATATTCCACAGAAACAAATTATCTGTCCTTCCTCCTGTGCTTCCATGGCACCCAGCACATTTAGTTTACATTTAAAGCTGGGAGCATTTGGGGGGGGGGGGCAGGGAATTTGTTGCATTCATTTTGTGTTTCTAGTGCCCTGAATGGTGTCTGTGAAATGCAAGCTCTTCAGAACTGACCTTTGAATTAGTGAGTGAATGTGCTTGTGCTGTGGCTGCTGCTTTGTCTCTGTAGCTGTTAAAGTCCTTAACTTAACTTTATCTATCATGTGGCAATAACAGTTTAGATATAATTGATTTGGTGAGGAGATTAATGTTGGACTTGTTCTGTGCTGGAAAAGCCTTTTAATTGTTTGTATCTGTGAAGGAAGGGAAAGCAGTGGTCTTAATTTCTGTAAAGCAAATGGGATACACAGCGCCTCTGTGAAGGGCTTCCCTTAAACCAGCATTTGCTACTAAGCGTCATGCTGTGTCAGGTACTATATTACATTTTTTAATTAGGAAGATTTCAAATTCATCTGTGTAGCAGGTGGCATTGGGGGTTTCACTGCCTCAGTTTCTGTTAGTCATTGCTTTTGTAACTTGACATAAGAGATTGGTTCACCAAACATCTGTATGAATTATTTTCCTCCATTTATTTCTCTAGTTTTTGAAGAGTATTCAGTCAGTAAGAGACCCAACATCTATCCCTCCCGAAGAGATGGTAAGATGATCTATGTCCATGTAATGACGACTCTTTAATAAAACTTTCTTCTGCAGATCCCTCTCTTTAGCAAGTAAAGGGTGCCTTCTAATTCCTCTGGCCTTGACGGCGTCTGAGATTAATCTTAACATTAAGCCAGGGAGCCAGCTTACATTGTTTGGATAGACACCTCTGATATTCTTTAAAAATAATTGTGCCTCGTTGTGAAGAGGGTGTCATGCCCCTTTCATTATAAGTCCTTGTAAGTTGCTGGAAGTCACAGTAATTAGAGAAGCGGCATCCCTAGTCACTTCCTGTGCTTTATCCAAGCCATTCCTCTGCCTGGCTTGCCATTAGTTAAGATTCCAAGATGAAGGGTAGGCATTTGATTAGTAGTTGAGATGCTGGTTGGGAGGACATACGCATCCTACGTCACAGGGCCTGGGTTCAACTCCTGGCTCCAGCTCCTGATTCTAGCTCCTTCTAATGAGACCCTAGGAGGCAGCAGTGATAGGTCAGCTAACTGGAGACTGAGATTGAGTTCCTGGTTCTCAGCTCTTCAGGCCTTTGTGGGGTGAGCTAGAAGATGGGAATTTCCTTTTCCCTCCCTCCCTCCCTCCCTCCCTCCCTCCCCCTCCCTCTCTCTCCCTCTCTCCCTCCCTCCCTCCCTCTCCCTTTCCTTCTCCCTCTCCCTCTCCCTCTCTCTCTCCCTCCCTCTTCTTTTTCTTCTTCCTCTTCCCCTCGAATTAATATTACGGTGCTGCTGAAAAAAAAAATCCTAGTTCCAGTAAATTCAAAAGCAGGTGCTCCCTGTAAACTTGTTCTTATAAACACTGATTCTCAAAGACAAATTTAGTGTGCTTCACAGGAATGCAGACCCAACCGAACTATAAACTTAAATAGAGACCTGAGACGGGATAAATCAGGTGTTTCCAAATCAGTTTTTTTTTTTTTTTTTTAAGATTTATTTATTTATTTGAAAGGCAGAATCACAGAGAGAAGGATGGAAAGAGAGAGATATCAATATCAATTCATTTTCCATTGCTGGTTCACTCCCAAAATGGCCTCAATGGCCAGGGCTGAGCCAGGCTGAAGCCAGGAGTGTCATCTGGATCTCCCATGTGGGTGCAGGGACCCAAGCACTTGGGCCATCTTCTGCCTTCCCAGGCAAATTAGCAAGGAGCTGGATCAGAAGTCGAGCAGCCAAGACTTGAACCGGTGCCCATATGGGATGCCAGCATTGTAGGCAGTGGCTTACCCTGTTATGCCATAAATGCCAGCCTTGGGTTTATGGATCATTTTTAAGATATTTTTATTTGAAAGGCAGAGTGACACATCTTCCATCTGCTGCTTCACTCCCCAAGTGGCTGCAACAGTCAGAGCTGGACCAGGCTGAAGCCAGGAGCCAAGAACCCCATCTAGGTCTTCTACTGGGGTGGCAGAAACTCAAGTACCTCAGCTATGATTTCCTGCTTCCCAGGCACATTAGCGGGGAGCTAGCACAATAGCAGAGTAGCTGGGACTCAAATTGGCATGCTGATGTGTGTTGCAGGCGTTCTAGGCAGGGGCTTAACCCGCCACACCACAATGCCAGCCCCCAAATCAGTATTTTATATATAACCAAGTATATTTTAAACTGGTGATTGGTGATCTTAAGTAATTTAAGGTGTCCTGGCCAGGATTTTGAAAAAAAAAAAAAAAGGGGGGGGGCGGGGATAAAAGAGATAAAATTGGGCATCTTCTATTGTAAAGCTAAGTATTAGTTTATGAAACATTTCCATTGTGTGTAGCTTTATATATGCATGTATACTGGGTCAGGATGAAAGAAGGTAAATTTGTTACTCCTGAGTTGCACTCAGAAATATTTTATTCTGATTTTTTCTTGTCCCTGTTGAATGTTTTAAAATCTTTGATAAATTTCATTCACTGGCAGCTTTTCATTTTTGCGATGTGCTATTTTAATTGACACATTAATAATGATTCCTATTTATCAAGTATAGTGCATTAATAGCTTTAAGAGCCTTTAAATTATTGTGTGGTACAGTGAACTTGAATTTGAGTGTAATAAATGCAACCATGGGAGAAAATGCTTCAGGGAAAATTGGAACTGACTGGTAAGGCAGATCCTCTGGTTTTAATGGTGTTTACTACTTTTAGTCTCCAGAATTCACAACCCTTCCAGAGTCTCTTGGACATGCTCGGGATGCCTATTCATTTGGAACATTGGTGGAAAGTTTGCTCACAATCTTAAACGAACAGGGTGAGTTGGAGTTACATTATTGCATCCACAAAATAAGTGGGAAAATCATCTATGTCCTGTTCTGTGTGGAACTCAAAAGGACTACAGTCTCTGACCACAGTAAGGAATGCATTGCTATCCATATAACTTGTTTAAGGCAGATGTTAACGTTAGGAAAGAAGCTTTCATTAGTTTGCATACTGAAAAGAATTGAAGTAGGAAGCACTTCTTTTTTTGAAGATTTATTTATTTTTATTTGAAAGGTTTACACAGAGAAAGAAGGAGAGGCAAAGAGAGAGAGAGACATCTTCCGTCCTCTGGTTCACTCCCTAAGGGGCTGCAATGGTCAGAGCTGCACCAATCTGAAGCCAGGAGCCTGGAGCCTGGAGCTTTTTCCAGGTCTCCCATGCAGGTGCAGAGGCCCAAGGACTTGGGCCATCTTCTACTGCTTTCCCAGGTCATAGCGGAGAGCTGGATTGGAAGTGGAGCAGCCGGGACTCGAACCAGTGCCCATATGGGATGCCAGCACTGCAGGCAGTGGCTTTACCCACTACGCCGCAGAGCTGGCCCCAGTAGGAAGCATTTGAACTATTACTGTCAGTATCGTCTTTGATTAGCTTTTTAATTAATATTATGGTCTAAAGACTATTCTTTATTAAGCCTGCCAACAGATAAAGACATGTCATTTGTATTAGCCAGGTTTTCCTAGCTACGACTAAAATACCTGAGAGGAGCTACTTAAGGAGGAAGAAAGTTGATTTGAATTTAGTTTTAGAGGTTCACAATCCAAGGTCAGGTGGCCTCATTATTCTGGGTGTCTGATAAGGCAATGGATGGCAGAACACTTGTGAAGGGAGGATCACACGGTGAGCCAGGAAGCAGAGAGGGAGCAACTCTGCCTTCACATCTGTGTCTCTTTATAGCCACAGTTTGATCATAGGGGCTCTGCCCTAACAGCATAATCCAGTCTAATCACTTTTCAAGGCCTCAGCTTCAGACACCATAATACAATTAAGTTCTGTCCTTAATTCATTAACATAAGACTCTGAACATCAAGGCTTAACTCATGGGTCTTTGGGGAACACCCAAATTATTTGCCAAATGTCCTAACACCGTTAATGACTTGTATATAATGATCTGAATAACAGATTTTTTTAAAAATTTATTTTATTTGAAAGAGTTACACAGAGAGAGGAGAGGCAGAGAGAGAGAAAGAGGTCTTCCATCTGCTGGTTCACTTCCCAGTTGGCCGCAATGACTGAAGCTGGGCCAATCTGAAGCCAGGAGCTCCTTCTAGGTCTCCCACGCAGCTGCAGGGGCTCAAGGACTTGGGTCATCTTCTACTGCTTTCCCAGGCCATAGCAGAGAGCTGGATCGGAAGTGGAGCAGCAGGGACTCAAACTGGTGCCCGCATGGGATGACGGCACTGCAGGTGGCAGCTTCACCTGCTGCACCACAGCGCTGGTCCCCTGAATAACAGATTAAGGTTCAACATCTTTTATTAATTTCTAAATCAAGACTTTTTTCAAAGTCTTTTGATTTTTTTTCCTCTTGCTGTAATTTACTCATTATTTTTTTCTTCCATCATCCTTTGAAAACCTAGACTACAAAAGACTTGTTTTCTGTGTTCTCTAATTGCACGCTCAGCAGCCTGCTTCACTGTCTGGGGACCCCTCAAGTTTACTGGGACCTGCTGTTGAGTTTACTGAGGCACGTGTCCCATAAGGCCCATTCCTGGCCTGTGTCTCCCATTGTGAAGCTTTGTGCTGTTGCAATGCAGTTTCTTTCTAACAGGCTTATGGAGTGTTCTGATGTTACACACACCATTCAGCTGTTAGCTGTAAATTTTCCCAGCTTAAGTACTTGAGAATTAAACTCTAAGGTAAACATATGTAATAAGCTAACTACTATGCATCTGTAATGGTGGCAAGTATGTACCATACTTGGTAGAATTTAAAACAAGAGTCATTTAAATAACTTTTATCTTCTGTGGCTGAGGAACCCTGGGTGAGAAAGGCCCTTAAATCTGCCACAGAGTAAGCCTTTGTTTGGCCTGAGCCAAGTTCAGCAGTGAGGAAGTCAGGACGTGGAAGGGGCGAGGTCGGACATGTTGGCAGGACAGCACTCTGCACCTGTCAGGGACTGGGCATAAGGCAAGCAGGAAGCTGTTCAGCAACAGCAGGGGCTTTGTTTGTTTGGGCTTTTACAGGTTGGTTTTTGCCCTCGTCAGTCTCCAGCTGTAGAGGCCCTGAAAAGAGGAGAAGGCATTGGAAACTAACTGTAGCTCTGGATTTCAGTTTCAGCGGATGTTCTCTCCAGCTTTCAACAGACCTTGCACTCAACTTTGCTGAATCCCATTCCACAGTGCCGGCCAGCGCTCTGCACCTTACTCTCCCATGACTTCTTCAGGTGAGAGCACCGAGTGTGGTGCTGTCCTGTTTTTATCATTAGGGGAGACTGACCAGGTGCACAGGGAAGTAGATGGAGCACTGCCTGACTGTCCAGCTCCTGTCACAGATAGTGAGTTTTACAAATCCTTGGTTGTCCTGAAGGCTCTGGTTTAGAAATCGTAGCCCATTTCCTTAGGGCTTCTGATTGTGGAGAAGCCAGGTTGTGTCTGACGTGACTTAACGGAGAGTCAGTGAGCACGCCTCTCCTTTCTGCTGCCCTTGTATTAGTGTGAATTTGTTACTGTTGGATTTTTCTCTTGGTGGGAGAGGGAATGCTTATTTTTTCTCAGGCAGAGCATTTTTTTTCTTTGTTTAGTAATACATGATGGAAAAGCAAAGTTGATTTAGAGGGAGAGGCACAATATAACTTAATACTTTTCCGGATTCAGAGATGTTTTTGAACCTCTGTCCAAGGTTAGTTGTAATTACATGTACCTTATTTTTTATTTCCGTGACTGCAGAGCTTCTGCACAGGTCAGTTTCATGTTCAATTTTTACTAACAAAGCCAACCTTGTATTAGTTTTGAAACTAAATATTCTTGTGTGTTTGCAGTTGGAAAAATCAGAGTCAAGAGTAAACATCATTCCTGACAGGGGAACGCTTAGGATAATACTGGTGGGATGGCATATTATTAAATGAGTCATATTTGTAATTACTGGAGTTATTCTGGCATTTAGGTGTCAAAGAAACTGTTTAGATCCTTCCCCCTTAGGTGTTTTAAACATTATTTTAATTGACAAAAATTGTATGTTTACTGTCTTTTAACTAAGGTATTTTGTCTTCCTTTTGGATGACTTAATTTTTTCTCTTGATTGCTCATCATGGTGAATACTTGTAGATTTTCTCATCACTGCAAGTAGCTTGAGTCCTTTATTAAGAACTGTATTTTGGGGCTGGTGCTGTGATGTAGCAGGTAAAGCCACCGCCTGCAGTGCCGGTACCCCATATGGGCTCCAGTTTGAGTCCTGGCAGCTCCACTTCCTATCCAGCTCTTTGCTGTGGCCTGGGAAGGCAGTAGAAGATGGCCCAAGTGCTTGAGCCCCTGCACCCGCGTGGGAGACCCAGAAGAAGCTCCAGACTCCTGGCTTTGGATCGGCTTAGCTCTGGCTGTTGTGGCCAATTGGGGAGTGAACCAGCATGTGGAAGACCTCTCTCTCTGCCTCTGCTTCTCTCTCTGTGTGTAATTGACTTTCAAATAAATAAATAAATCTTAAAAAAAAAAAAAAAAACACTGTATTTTAAGTAGAGCAAGGAGAAGAAAGCTGAAAACACACCAACCAGTGTTCCTCAAATTCCGTTCTCACACGTGAGGTGAGAACCTCTGTCAGAGATGACACAGCCGGTGTCCCCGTTGCTTAGGTTTAAGTTAAGGCATCTGTGTGTTTTCACACTGGAGCTGTGCTTCCGAGGTTGCACAGCCTGTGTGCTGAAGCGCGCAGTCTCGTGGTAGGGTGTGGGCAGTGCTCTCTCCGAGCGAAGCAGCCCAGAGCCTTTGGGACTCTGCTGGCTGGAACCTGGCCTCTCCTCCCGTACTGCCCCCTGCCTGTCTGAAGGAGTGGCTGGGTAACTTAGAGCAGGAGAAAGATTCCTGTGACTTGTACAGAAATCTACTTTCCCAACCCTCTTTAATAGTTTTTACTTCACCAAAGGAGAAAAGAGAATAGCAATCATTTTGTCATAGGAATGTCACTTCTCTCAAGATATTTCATTTGATAGCATACTATTATAGCCAAAAATTTGAAAGATTATGACAGCTATTAAAACTATAAAGCATATTAGCATGTGTGTGTTTAAGCTGGTGTCTTTTTCACAGAACTATTTAATACTCTTTTTTTTATTAAAGATTTTATTTATTTGAGAGGTAGAGTGAGAGAGGGAGAGACAGAGAGAAAGGTCTTCTGTCCACTGGTTCACTCCCCAAATGGCTACAGCAGCCAGAGCTGGGCCCATCTGAAGTAGGAGCCAGGAGCCTCTTCTGGGTCTCCCACATGGGTACAGGGGCCCAAGCACTTGGGCCATCTTCTGCTTTCCCAGGCTATTAGCTGAGAGCTGAATCAGAAGTGGAGCAGCTGGGACTAGAACTGGGACCCATATGGGATGCTGGCACTGCATACAGTAGCTTTTCCCACTATGCCACAGCGTTGATACCCTCTTTGATATTCTTAAAATAACAGATTCCATGTAGGCTTGTTCAAAAGTATTTGTCTCTTAAGTTGTTTAGTTATATTAGATTTATTTTAAATGACACAGAAGGTTGTTTCTTTAATTGAAAATTGTAATGGTGTGGTCTGTGGTTGTGGTCTCAATATTTGCCATACTTTATTATCCTTTTTTTTCTTTTGGACATTTAGGAATGATTTTTTAGAAGTTGTGAACTTCTTGAAAAGCTTAACATTGAAGAGTGAAGAGGAAAAAACTGAATTCTTCAAGTAAGTTCAGAAAGTTAAGACTTTAAATTCCATAACTTGCATTAAGTCCTTGTAATAACTTCAGCTGTTCTTCACTACGTTTGAACAGTTCCTGCATGTCAGGCTTTCTGCTGGGCCCTGGGACAGAGAGTTCTGGTGGGGGACACATTTCTGGGCTGATCATTCTTAAACAAAAGGCTGGGTGCAGTGATAGGGCTTTCAAAGGCAGTCCTGGGAACTGGGAACACAGGGTGGGGCAGAGGGGGTTAGAGAAACGGGATTTGCAAAGGCAAGACCCAGTGTGACTGGTGTGGGGCATGATAAGCAGTAGAGTCCTGTTGAAGGGCGGGTTCCAAGACAAGGACAGAGAAGAGGCGGCCCTTTTATGTGGCGGTGAGGACCATTGATACTGTTAGTACATACTGTGCTTCAGACATTGAAGCCATTGCGAGGAGTGAGTGCAGTGCGTGAAATGGTTCAATTTCCCTTTAGATGGATCACTGTGTTGCCCGTGGAAGAGGCAGGCTTAAATGATTCAAAACTTGCATCTATTAGTAGACTGTGCCAATTCAGCAGTAGCCGTGAAGCCATACATAGGACATTGATGGTCCCACTGAAGATACTGAAATAAGAGCTATTTAAAAGATAATGTAGGCTTGATGGGAGGACCTACTCTGCAGGGGAAAGATGGTCAGGGCAGGGTTGAGTGTGTTGGTTTGAAGCATCTGGGACATTAGACAGCATTGTGCAAGGACAGTTGGCCAGACTGGTCTGAAGGTCAGGAGAGAAGTCTTAAGGTGATGAGCTGGAAGTAAACCTTAGGGTGCCGTCAGCTTATAGTTGGGAGTGTTTTCCTAGGGAGCACGGATAGCCTGAAGAGGACAGTAGGCCCAAGCTGGTTCCCTGGGGCACTAGATCTTGTAAGTAGGTAAGTGGGAAGAAGTAGTTGATGAATGAGACAAAGAAGCAATGGATAGAAGAGATTCAGAGAGAGAGACAGAGACAGATAGGAAGCAAGTGGTATTACTAGAGAAGCAGGGAATTTTGGCAAGGTCGTAGGAATCACGAAATGGCTGTTCATTCAGCAAGCAAGAAGGCTCGGGTCACCTTGTCTAGGCAAGATCTGTTTCAGCAGTGGGTTGGGAAGAGCATGGAAAGGTGAAAAAGTGGACATGAAGCAAATCCTCCTAAAAATCTGAGGAGGAGAAAACATACTGTTGCTAAAGAAGGAGGCAGATTAAGGAGGGAGTTTTTAAGGATGGAAGGGGCAAGCATGGTTATAGACAAGGTGCAGGAGTTAGTGGAAGACTGGGAGGAGCAGTTGAAGCTGTGGTCACATTGGCGGCTGCGGGTGCTGTTGGAGCATGGTCTGAGGGGAAGGGAGTCTTGGGGCGTGGCCTTAAACGGAGACCTAGAAAGGAGGTGAGAATGAGTGGGACGTAGACCCTGTGTGTCATTAGTGGTGTATGGCTGTGAAGGTGCTAATGTGTGATGTGTTCTAATAAAGTCGGAGGCATGGTTAGAAGTATTATTACTGTTAAAACCTGGTTTCTCTTTCTCAACACAGTGATATTACATGTGTCGTTTAATTTAGTGATGTTAGTAACACCAACCTATTCAGGTTAAGCGTCCCTAATCTAAAAGTCTAGACTACTTTGAAATCTGAAACTCTGAGTATCATTGTTGGTGCTCAGAAAGCTTGGATTTAGGAATATTTCAGATTATGAGTGCACAGTTGGTAAATTCTGTGCAAATATTCCAGAACTTCAAAACTTCCAAATCTGAAACATTTCTGGTCCCAGGCATTTCAGATAAGAGTTACTCACCTATATTTTGTTTGATATGAAAACTGTAGATAACCTAATGCCCTGTATCATTTAAATTTGAGGGAGTCCTTATTAGGGGAAAAGTCACTTGTGCTATGAAGAAGAAGAGGTAATCGGTTGAAAACGTTTCCTAGTTTGCACTGGAGTGTTACCTAGCTGGCCTTAGCTCACGTTCCCTGCATTCTTCGCGAGCGCACGGGGACCAGCCTGCTCACCTTCCCCAGCCGCAGTTCAAAATGCATCACTCTGGTAGAAGTGGGAAGGAGCCGAATGTGGCTAACCTGTACCAGTAGATCGCTGCCGTGTCACAGCCAGTTTCTCAGGCTTCCTTCTTTGTCCGCAGGTTTCTGCTGGACAGGGTCAGCTGCTTGTCAGAGGAATTAATAGCTTCAAGGTTGGTGCCTCTTTTGCTTAATCAGTTGGTGTTTGCAGAGCCGGTAGCTGTCAAGAGTTTTCTTCCTCATCTACTCGGTCCCAAAAAAGGTGAGTTCAGTTGTTTTGCAAAGTATTATTGGTACTTAAGGAGTCTGATAATTATCAGTCTGTACTTCAGCATGTTAGATTACCGTGTGGTTTAATTACTGGCCACTGATGTGATAACTTTCATTCAAACCTGGATACCTAAGCCAATAGGGTAAATATGGAGCACCTTCCTGGAAAGTGAGATGTATTTCAGTAAGTGGTTTTATATATGTGATTGTGTGTGGGGGTTGGGGGTGGGATATACGTGTACTTTATTTGAATATGAATACATAGGAGGTAAGCATTTAGCCTTCTGCCATCTGACTTACCATTTATTTTGTTTTCCGTGAGAGAAATATTAAGATTGTTTTACTTGCTGGTGCTTCAGGTTTTTTCTGAAATGAGGTTATTTGAAACTTTATAGCACTCTAGCTGATAACACAGCAAGTTAGAGAGTGGAGCATTAATATTATCCTACAGAATTTTGAGTTAGGATTGTACTTTCACAATCTCAATCCAGAAAGCAGTGTTAGAGGTCATTGTATTACAATTTGGAATTTCCTTATAGGAGGGTACTTCAGAAAGCTTGTGGACAGATGGAATTAAAAGATAAGTTACACAAGCAGTTGGAAATCCATGCATATGAGGAGTCTACAAAATGTTTATGGAAAATGTATTATAAAAAAACTACATGTGGATTTCAAAATTTTTTGCATCAAAATAAACTTACTTTTTCATTGCATTTATCCACAAATGTTTTGAAGCATGTTTGTATCTCTACTTTGATGTCATGAATTTTTTAGCCTTTAGCTGTGAGTTTTTTTTTAAAGCTCTTCATCTTCATATTCTGTAGAGCTTGGGTAGTGGTATACCTCTGAGTTACTAGGCTGCTGTTTAAAAATTTGTCTGTATGCCTGATCCACTGGCCCTGGGACACTCAGGACACAGGTTTATACATTCGTGTACCACATAACATTTCTGTCAGTGACAGACCTCATAGTATAACAGTGGTCCCATAAGGTTCTATGAAACGCAACACCACAGCCATTTCTGTTTGTACAAGAACTCAGTGATGCTTGCACAACCATGACTCACTTAACACATTTCTCCAAACATGTCCCCACTGTCGGGAAAATGTGACTGTGTATATTTTTAAAGCCCCCAAATGAATCTCATGCATACATACCTCTGTTTGTTAGGCACTAGGAAGAGAATACTCAGCATCAATACCATTGTAGCACCTCTTGATTTTGCAAATAAAATGGCAACATCAGTGTCAACATGTTCAGGATTCTGTTAACATACAATCTGGAGTATTTGAAAAACATTTTTACAAAGTAGAATGTACTTAGGATCATTATTCCTTGAGCAATTTTGGTTCAGTAACAACAAAGAAAACTGGTTTAGAGCCTGCGAACTCAGAGGGTGTTTGGAGTATGTGTGGTTCGAGGCTCAGTATGAATTGTGCTAGTCCTGTTTTCAGTGAAGTGACACTCTGCGTTTTCGTCCTCACCCCTTTCTGATTCTCTGGGGTAGATAATGCGCAGGGAGAAACCCCTTGCTTGCTCTCACCAGCCCTGTTCCAGGCGCGGGTGATCCCCGTGCTTCTGCAGTTGTTCGAGGTTCATGAGGAACATGTGCGGATGGTGCTGCTGTCTCACATTGAGGCCTACGTGGAGCACTTCACTCAGGAGCAGCTGAAGAAGGTCATCTTGCCGCAGGTCAGAGACGTCAGCCAGGGGCCTCCAGAGGAGGCGGGGAGAGGGGGCAGAGCTTGGCGGTTTGGAGACTGAACAAGAGAGGAGGGTTAGGGTATTCAGATAACAGCTAGAAAGCCTTGAGGCACCCATTCAGTTTAAAAGCCTCCTGGAATTGGGGCTAGCATGGTGGCTTAGCAGATGAAGCTGCTGTCTGTATATGGGCGCAGGTTCGAGTCCTAACCACTGCACTTCCAAACCAGCTCCCTGATAATGTGCCTGGGAAAGCAGGGGAAGATGGCACAAGTGCTTGGGCCCCTGCATCCACCTGGGAGACCTGGAGAAAACTCCTGGCTCCTGGTTTCTGACTTCAGCCTAGTTTAGCCCTGGCTGTTGTGGCCAGTTGGGGAATGAACCAGTGGACGGAAGACTTCTCTCTCTTCCTGTGCCTCTGACTTTCCCTCTCTATAACACCACCTTTCAAATAGATAAGTAAATCTTTAAAAAAAAAAAAGCCCCCTGGAATAGGGGCTGGATTTCAAATCGCCCTTCCAAACCATTCTCACAGGCAAATCAGTTGACATATTTGTTCTTGGCAGAAAGTGTGTTTCTGTTGCTGATTCTTTGTTTTGTTTTGTTGTTTCTCTCTCAGAGATCTCTCCTCCATCTACTGGTTCACTTCCTGAATGGCCAGAACAGCCAGGACTGGGCCAGGTTGAAGCCAGGAGCCCGGCCCTCTCTCTGGGTCCCCCACATGTGTGGCAGGGCCCAAACATTTAGGTTATCCTCCACTGCTTTTCCAGATACATTAGTAAGGAGCTGGTTTGGATGGATGTGGGGCCGTGCTCATATGGGATGCCAGCTGCAAGAGGTGGCACAACCTGCTATGCCACAGGGCTGGCTGGCACCTGTTTGCTGATTCTTTTGTGGAAAAACAAACAAGTCATTTTTGGAATGCTTTGTGAACATAAACCAAGATTGGCTATAATTAAATTACTGCAAGATAAACAGGAAAGGAAGGAGTGATCAGCACCATCGATGGTGGATGACCGTGGGGCTCCAGGTTTCTCACGTCTGCCCTGACATTGAGGACCTTAGCTTCCCTTTAGCCTGAAGTCCAGAACCAGAAAGTCAGCAAGAGCAGGCTCCAGGGAGAATCTGTTTCTTCTTAGCTTCTGGTAGCTCCCAGAAATCCGTGGAATTTCTTGGTCTGAAGCTGCCTCATTTGTCTTTGCCTTTAATTGTGTGCCTGTGTCTTTACGTGGTCTTGAAAGGATAGCAGTCATTGAGTTTAGGGTTCACTTAAATCTAGTATGCCTCATCGGACGGTCATATTCTGTGTGGAAGCTTCCTTTGGAGCGATGCTATTCAGCGTAGGACAAGGTTTTGTTTGTTTTTATTTTTTAAAGATTAAAACGATTCCAATCACGTGGTGACTTTCAAATTACTTGTTTTCCTATGAGATCTGTGAACATGCTTCCCACTTTCAAGGAGCTAGTAGTGGGAAAGATGTTTCAGTATCTGCTGCTGGGTCACAAATCACCCCCGTATTTGCTTTATAAAGCAGCAGTCACCCGAGTGACTCACGATGGTTGGGACTGCCTGGGTTCAACTTGGGGTTCTGTTGTTCCTCAGGATGCAGCCCCTGACGCGGCTCCTTCATGTCCTGGGGATGCTGAAGGCCTTGGCTCAGGGAGACTGGAAAGGCTGTGCTTGTCCATGAACGCAGGTCGCAGAGCTCTGTGCCTCGTTTCAGATGATTTCTCTAACAAGGGAGGTGGACTTCTTCCCGGGCTTGTCAGGGCTAACGAAAGGGCAAAGGCAGCCTCTTCCAGAGTAGGCTGGGAGTTGGCAGCGTCATGTCTGCCACGTTGTGGTTATAGTGAGTCAGGGTCAGCCCAGGTATACCACGTGCTGAGTTTACACAAGGGAGGCTGACTTTGGAGCCCCACTCCCACGATACAGTTGTGTTAAAACCTTTGATATTATATGTAAATGAAGAAACTAAACCAGGAAAATAAAAGGATCAGTCGGTCTGGCTCTGTTGTGAATTCCCAGAAATAGGACCAGAAGCAGTATTCTGATGCCTTTCATGCCGTCACTTCTGTGGGGCAGGCAGCTACCCTGGCCTCCCGATACGTGCGCCCGATTATCATAATCATAGCTAAGAGGTGCGTTTCATTGCAAGTTACTGAAAACCACATTAGACCCGCTAAAGCAAAAAAGAATGTAGTACAAGGATGTCAGACCATTTCACGGGGAAACCAGCAGCTAAGCCTCACAGACTGACGGTTTTCATTCCTTTTGCTGCACTGGAAAGCCAGTTTTTATTGTTTTCACATACATACGCCAAACATGCTTGTCCCTTAACTCCCAAGTTAGCTGTCCTCATTTTAAGCAAACCATGGAGCCCCAAGTTTCTTTAGACTGCATTTTCCATTCCTGGGTCAGATCACAGTTGCCTCACTTTGCGGCAGGCGAGCCCACTGAGATGGGGATGAGGACAGTCAGTCCTCAGTGCCCTGCATAGCGTCACTAGTCAGGGTTCTGCGAGGAGGTGAGTAGGGAAAGATAAGCAATTTGATGGAGTAATCTTAGGTTGATGTCCATTTTCGTTTTGTATTTTTAAAGAGTACGTGATAAGATTAGGCTTTTAGTATGTGTAGTTTGAGAACCACGGACCTAGAACATGCACCTAAGAAAATGTAATTCATCTGGATGAGCACAGTGTGATTGCTGCCCACTTGCCTGCTGACATGAGGAGGGAAAAAGAGGTGATGTGGTTGTCTGCACTCACTGCCTCGTTCGCTCCTAGGTATTACTGGGCCTGCGTGACACCAGTGATTCCATCGTGGCCATTACCCTTCATAGCCTAGCAGTGCTGGTCTCTCTGCTTGGACCAGAGGTGGTTGTGGGTGGACAAAGAACCAAGATCTTCAAACGCACTGCCCCAAGTTTTACTAAAACTGTTGACCTTTCCCCAGAAGGTAAGAAGATTCTAAGACTTACTGTGATGCTGTTAGTTCATTAGATTTTTAATATTATACAAGTAATGCCAGGAGAGTTATAGTCAGTCAAATGCTAGAGAGAAGTATAAGGAGAAACGTAATTTCTCTTTCCTAACTAGGTACCCAGTTTTAGTAGGTTAGTGGGAATTCCTTATCTTTTTAAGGCTCACGTACATATCTATATAGTATTTTTGGTAATGTTGAGGAAACAAACATGAAAAATCTAGAACTTATTTTCTTAGATCTAGAACTGTTTCCAGATCAATACATAAAAATCCAGCTTTTTGATAGCTGACTAGTATTTTATTGAATATAGTTCACTCATTTCCTTATTTGCAAAAGTAACACCCATTTCTGGGTTTTTAATCACTACAAGCAGTGCTGGAATAAATATCCCTTTACACGCATCCTGTGTGCTTTGGGTTTCACTGCTATTGAACAAACACTCAGAGGTACCCTTTCTGGAACAGAAATATATTTTTAGTAGATACTGTCAGTTTCCAAAAGGGTGAAGTTCTTATTAGTTCTTGTTTACAGTAGATGTTTCTTTTGATTTTTTTTTTTAACTTATTGGGTACAAAGCTAATGATTTTTAGATACTTCAAGTTCTTATGTGAGGCAGCAGTTTAATCTTTGGTCTTATAAAATTTTGTATCAGCAGTGTTGTTGCTTCCTTGCTCCTTTGGATAATCTTGAATAGAACAATGACCTTGTCAGCAGTGAGGGATCTCTAACCCATAGATCTCTAAACCTCCTAGATAGAGGAAGTAGATAGCATGGAATCCGTTATTAGTAGAAAAGAGCTACCAGTTAGGCTTTTCTCTAATTTTGATGTCAAAAGAATTTTTTATTTATCTGAAAGAGAGTTTCACAGAGAGAGATCTTCCATCCACTGGTTCATTTCCCAAATGGCCGCAACGGCCAGAGCTGAGCCAATCCACAGCCAGGAGCCAGGAGCTTCTTCTGGGACTCCCACATGGGTACAGGGGCCCAAGGACCCTGGGCCATCCTCCGCTTTCCCAGGTGCTGGATCGGAAGTGGAGCAGCCAGGACTTGAACTGGCACCCATATGGGATGCTGGCACTGCAAGCCAGGGCTTTAAACTGCTGTGCCACAGCACTGACCTCCACAAGAATTTTTAAAGCACCCTGGCTTCCTGAAAGTTTGAAGAGTTCATCTCCTCGTTGTCAATGCACCGGTGTTAGTGTGGCTCAGAGGAACTTAAAGGGCTGAGGGAGAGATGCTTACCTCCTTTCCAGCTCTGAAACACATACTGAATGGGCTGAATTGGGCAGGGTCTGTTACCAGGTCTTTTTTTTTTTTTTTTTTAAAGCAAATTACATCAAATAACAAGTGAGAGGTTTATATATCGTACCACACCTTTATTGGGGGGAGGGGCATTGTTTTGTGATAAGGGTGAACATTAGGCTAGTCTTTGGCACAGTATTGTATACTGAATTGAAAGGTAGAGACAGATCTTCATCCATATGCTGGTTCACTCCAAAATGCCTCCCATGGCTGGGACTGAGCCAGCCAGGAGCCTGGTATCCAGGTTTACAGTGTGGGTGGGAGGGATCAAATACTTGCGTCATCACTTGCTGCCTCCCAGGATGTGCATTAGCAGGAAGCTGGAATTAGAAGAGCCAGGACTCAAACACAGGTACTCTGTACAGGATGCAGGCATCCAAAGCAGGGCCTTGAACACCATGCCAAACTCCCGGCCCTGTTTATTGCGTTACCTAGTTGTAGACATTCTGTATACTTAAGATAGACATTTGTTTATATCTGTCTCGATTACTTTGTGATCTTAGTAAGAAACTGGAACAGCAGAAGGTTAAGTTTTCTTGTGATATCAAGGCCTAATTCCACTGACTTGCCCAAGTGAGGTTCTACATGCAGAAAGATTAGCAGAGCCCAGGCAGCACCCTACCTTTCAAGTTTAAGTCCACAGGAGCATTTCTGAAGAAGCAGGGTCGTATAAGGGAGGTGATCCTACATTTTTTCAGTCTTTTGTAATTCACCTGTATGGTCAGACTTAAAAATAAGGGCTAATATAAAGTAAGTCTGCTTGAAATGAGTTGGGGAGCACAGTTTAGAAAGGGCCCTGGGTAAGAAAAACATAGAACTCTCTTTAGCAAGGGTAGTGGTACAGATAAGCAGAAGACTGGAGGGTGTGTAGAGACCAGGCCTTGCAGGGCTGGGGGTAAGGGAGGAGGTTGCAGTGCTGAGAGCTGGCAGCCTGCTAGAGCTGGCTTCCCAGGGGCATTCCTTTGTGGGCACCTTAAAGCAGGAGGTACTTGTAATCCTCTGAAATCGTTTTGAACAGTGCCCAATCTGTAGTGTAAACCTTTCTGAATACAAGTGTTAAAGACAACATTTTTTTAAAATAATCATTTTTACTGGGGGTTAAATATCTATAGCATAAAATTTGACATTTTAGCCATCTTAAAAAAGCATATATTTACTGTTGTGCTTGTACTCTTAGACTTTATTCCTAGGTGGAAAGTAGAATCAGTTTTAAGTCACTACCGCACTAAGGGCTGTAATTTTTAATTAAATGTCTTAAAGGTTATATATGCATACATGCTTGATCCTTTCTATGACCAAGTGGAGTGGATACAGTCTATTAAACACCTCTAGGTGCAGGTAATTCATTCCATAAAAGGTTTGTGTCTTCAAATATTTGAGATGTTCTCCCTAGAGCTTTTACGAGTGTTAAATATCCACTTCCTTTAACCATTGCTCACCAACAGTGACAGATCAAGAAGCCATTTATTAGCCTTTTCACTTTTTGAACTTATTTACCTTCAAATTCTCCCAAATACGTCATCTGCAGCCAGCAGTCAGATCTTGCCAATCTTGGAGAAACCCTCTGCTAGCATATCCCCTAAATATTTCCTACTGGCAACGTGCCCAGCAACAGCAAAAAGCACACACAGCAAGATTCCTGCAGACAGGTAGAAGTGTTAAGTCTATACAGCTTTCCCATTGCTTGGATGAGTGTTTTCCTAATAGAACCCAGCTTTGGTCTCATCTTGCTTCCCTGGACCACTTTGTTTCTACCTACCCTACCTTTTTAGTTTTTTTTTTTTTTTTTTTTTCCAGCAGAAACTTTGCTTTGGACTTTTGGAGACTTAGTATAGCATCTTTAGCATTGTGCCAAGAACAGTAGTTAAGAAAGTTGTTAATAGAGACTGATGTAACATAGTGGGTTAAGCTGCTGCCATTGATGTTGGCATCCTCTATGAGGCCTGGTTGGAGTCCCAGCTGCTCTAGTTCCAATCCAGGTCCCTGTGGTAATGTGCCTGGGAAGGCAGAAGATGGCCCAAGTGCTTGGGCCCCTGTCACTCTCGTGGCAGACCTGGATGGAGGTCCAGGTTCCTGCCTTTGACCCAGTCCCCATCATCTAAGGATGGAAGATCTCCATCTGTCTCTCCCTTTCAAATAAAAATCAGTTAAAAAAAAGTTGGGGCCAGTGCTGTGGTGCAGCGGGTTAACACCCTAGCCTGAAGTGCCGGCATCCCATATGGGTGCCAGTTCAAGACCTGGCTGCTCCACTTCCAATCCAGCTCTCTGCTATGGCCTGGGAAGGCAGTAGAGGATGGCCCAAGTCCTTGAGCCCCTGCACCCACGTGAAGACCCAGAAGAAGCTCCTGGTTCTGGACCGGCACAGCTCTGGCCATTGTGGCCAACTGGGGAGTGAACCAGCGGACAGAGGACCTCTCTCTCTCTCTCTCTCTCTCTTAAAAAAAAAAAGGTTCCTGGGCATGTCATGGGAAGGAGTCCTGTGTTTCAATGTTCGGGAAATCTTGGCCTAAGATTTCTTAACACCTGAACCATATTTAGGGAAGTCTTTAAAACAAGGATAGCAGCTCCCTGCTATGGCCTGGGAAGGTAGTGGAGGATGGCTCAAGTGCTTGGGCCCTGCACCCATGTAGGAGACCCAGAAGCAGCTCCTGGCTTCAGCATAGCCCAGGCCTGGCTATTGTGGCCATTTGGGGAGTGAACCAACAGGTAGTGGTTCACTGTGTCTCTCTCTGCCTTTCAAATAAATCAATCTTTAAAAAAAAAAACACACACACAAATGGATAAGCTGGGTTCAGGAAATTTGAGCACACATTTTTTCAGAGTTTATGCAGTTAACATTTTGAGGCTTAGAGCATTTCTGTATTTACAGACAATTTTACCAATGAACAGTACGTTTGGGTATTTGGTAAAGAATTGGATGCCCCAGTTGTTACTTGGTTTGTGCTTCCAGTGAGGTAACCTTCTCGTTCAGTCAGTGCCACCCAGGAAGCATCTGGATAACTTACCTCACGTCTTAGATGTTGTGCTCTGCCAGGATCTTTTTTTAGTGTACATTAATGTTAAACCTCCATGTTCCCTTAATGCTAACTTTCCCCTAAATAGGAGAGTAATTCTTGTATATATCCCACAGGCAATCAGTTTTCCATGAATGGAGTCTCAGATGTTAAAAATACTTCAGGGGACAGTGAAAATTTCCCATCAGATTCTAAAAAGTCAGAGGAGTGGCCCGACTGGAGTGAGCCTGAGGAGTCTGAGCACCAAACCGTCAGCATTCAGATTTGGCCGAGAGAACCAGGTGATGCCGCGGAGTCCCAGGGCACTGGCATGGATGCACAGTCGTCTTGGGGTGACTGTGAGCCCAGCAGTGTGGATGCTGAAGTAAACCCAGGCACTGGAATCTCTGCTCCGAGACCTGTTACCTCACGGGGGCAGGAGCCTGTTCCTGCTCTGCTCTCACTCACTGAAGAATCTAAGCCTTTGAAATCAAGTCTACCACAAAAGACCAGTCTTGTACAAAGTGGGGGTGACCCAGACCAAATCAGGCCACCAAAAGTGCTGTCACAAGAAAGGCCACTTAAGGTCCCATCAGAACTTGGTTTAGGAGAGGAATTTACCATTCAGGTGAAAAAGAAGCCAGTACAAGATCCTGAGTTGGACTGGTTTGCTGATATGATCCCTGAAATCAAGCCTTCCGCTGCTTTTCTTATTTTACCTGAACTGAGGACAGAAATGATGGTCCCCGGCAAGGACGATATCTCACCAGTGATGCAGTTTTCTTCCAAATTTGCTGCAGCAGAGATTACTGAGGTAAGTGCTTGCTTTGTTGTTGTCGCGCCATTTGCTCACTCCCCAGATACCTGCCCACAATGGCTCCGACCAAGGCTGGGAGCCAGGCTTCCCATGTGGGTGACAGGAACCCAGCTTTGAGGCATGTCAACACTGCCTCCCGCGAAGCCAGAATCGAAGTGCTGAACCCAGGCACTCCAATGTGGGATGCAGGCATCTTATCCACACTCTAACCCCTGCCCCTAGTTAGTACTTTTCACAATTAAATTGTGCTATTAGTTTAAGGATTTCCCTTGTAGGTACCACTGTAACACACGTGCTGTTGGCCCAATGAAGATTAATGTGCACCATTAGTTAAAATGATCAAATCTGGCATAGAATTAACAAAACCAGATCCAAGAATGGTCTTTCCTTCCCTAGAAAAATGTAGCAACCTATGGGTTGACTGTTTAATGGTCCCTTCCATGTCATTAGGACTGCCTTTACTGGGTTATGTGGTTCTTAAAATGTGTCTTTGGTTTTGTAACACTGGAACCAGAACAGTGTCTGTACTTTTCTGCTCTCAGTTACAGCTTTCTCTTACTTAGCATGAGCCAGTGTATTCTGGCATTAAAAGACAAGGGTTGGGTTAAGTAAATTCTCAGCCTCTCAGATGTGGTATGGTTTGTTCCAGTAGGTTGCTTTTGGTGTGTTTCTTTTGTTGCAGGGGGAGGCTGAAGGCTGGGGAGACGAAGGGGAGCTGAACTGGGAAGATAATAACTGGTGACAATGGATATGAGTTAAACCCTAGCAAAAAGGATGTTTCCCCCCAAAAAAGTGAAATCAGTACCTCAACAGCAGGCCATGTGGACAATAAAACCCAGCAGCAGCCCGTTCGGCCCATCCCAGGAGCTCTTGTTGTCCGGTCTGTGCCAAGTGAAGTGTGGAAAGGGCTCACTTCTAAAAGCTCTGGGTGGTGAGAGGCTCACAGAGCTGCTTCTCGGGAGAAGAACCTGTGTGCATTTGACACAAGTAGCTGAGGAAATGTGGAATATACAGTTTTTTTTCCAGGACAATTCTGGAAGTAAAGACAATAAATACAAAAATTCAAGCTGATTAGCTTAATTCTGTGCCATTTCTTTATCAGAAGAGAAGCTCTATTATGAAATACAACTTGCTGAATAAATTTTAGCTATAAATTATATAAATGATTTTAAATTGCTAAGGTCTCCTTAGGCAGCTTATTTATTTGTTTACAGTTGTACTGTCTGAGTGAACGGTCCTGTGAGGAGGAACCTGGGCAGGAACTGTTCCACATGTATGACGTTGTACCAAAGCTCTTACTGAGAAATACCCCCACAATCCTGTTCTTTAAATGTCAAATAAAGACTATTTTCACTAGATTCAACTTTATAGAAGCTGTTTTATGTGCTAGAAAATGTATAGACATAATTACATTATGATTTTCATTTACAAAATGGAGACGTGTTCTGTACAGTGACAAAGCATCAAGCCAGTTCTGAGCAGGGATACTGTGACCCAGTCCATTAAGTGGTACCCTAGAGCATGCGTTTTAGCTTCTCAATCCTCTCCTGGAGCGCCTCCATTTCCATTAGGAGCCAGGGTGGAGCAGGAGCCTTTTGCAGTAACGACTCGGTTGCCTCCACGGCCCCTGCTGCTGCTAGCAGTGCTGACCTGTACTCTTCTTCCAAGAGGAGCTCTGGATGGGCCCTCTGTGCGTAAGGCTGGAAAATGAGGAAACGTAAGTTATGGCGTAATACCCGGTCTAAAAATAAAGTACCTTTTAGATGAATACAGCTTGATCCAACAGATTTTAAAACTACATTTATATGCAAATTTTATTCTAGCCATTGGATCCCAAGGATGGAAAGGTACCCCTCCCTCCATTACAGTTATCTAGAAGGCATTTTTGGTTTGTCATAGTGAGTCAAGGTGCTTTTACCAGTGGCTTTAGTTTGTGACTGGCATACAACAGTGTCCACTCTCAATGAGAAATGCTGCCTAGCCCAGTAATTTCTAACGAGGATTCATCAGACAGCTCACACCCTGTCCTTAGTAAAGCCTCAAGTACACATTTTCTAAATGCTTCCATTTTCATGTTAATGCTAAATTTGTAAGTGATGAGAGCTACAGTCTTTCAGATGCATTTGGAGCCAGATCAAGAAAAGTCAGGCTCTCAAACGTCATGGCACAGCCATGAGGAGCAAGGTCTGCAGCCAAGATATCTTTCAAAATCACAGTCTTCCAAGGCAAGGCAGGTCACAAAAAATACATTCATGAGGGCTTATTTATCTGGTACAGTGAATTTGAGATTTCAGGCATGAAAGTTGCATGTCTTTTAAAACCACAGTATCTGTTGTTACGGATTTATATTCCAGATACACACTCCTAGTGCTTGAAACAATTTGAATATCCTTAGAGATGTCTAATTTCTGCCTCTTAACAGGCATGTATGATATTTAGACATTGCTAGAAATTATTAGGGGGCTGGTTTGATGAATGAGGCAAGAAGTTCAATTAACCATTTTAGAAGGAAAGTAAATTCATTATCTTTCGTGGTTCAGAAACAGCTACATTTAAAGCACTGTTAGTCCAATATGTAACTTCCCCAAAGGTCACTACAAATTACTGAAAGTTATTATTCAAAGAGCATATTTGATATGCACCTTCCAGGAAGACGTGATTTTTTAAAAGAACAATTAATGCAAGACAGGAGAATTTTACTTGTCTAGATCTGTTTGACTTGAAATTCAACACCAGGCCAAGAACCAGCCGGTTTCTCAGTAAGTAAAAAGGGCAGGATTTTCTTTAACAAAGTTGGACCCACACTCAGAAGCCAGTCCGTACCTGTGAAGGTGGCCACTTTGATTCTTCTGTGGTCACTTTAGCAAAGCGTTCCCAGAAAAGAACTTTCTCCTGTTTCACACGTTCCACTTTGGCAACTTCAGTTTCATCTATAAACCCAGTCTGCCAGAAACCATGAAACACCAAGTAAACGCCAGTGTGTACGATAGTCTACCAGATATCAAATGGTACAATATTCAAAAAATGAAAAAGCCAGTAATTTGTGTGTAAGGACTGAGCATTAAACCACACAAGCAGGCAAAACTGGGTAGTTGGACTCCTCCATCGATGCTTCCTTTTAGTGCAAACTGCATAAAGTCACTCTACAAAGCTCTCCCCCCTCCACCCCCCAAAAAAAGCTATTGAGTCTTCTTTCTAGGAAAACAGTGAGTTGGCTGACTTGCTAGAGGCAAAGAAACTGGCAACAGCAGTATACACACAAGTACTTAACATCTGGCTTACAGGGGCCGGCACTGTGGCAAAGCGGGTAAAGCTGCCACCACCAGCAACCTTTACGGGCTGTGGTTCAAGTCCCTACTGCTCCTCTTCCATCCAGCTCTCTGCTATGGGAAACCAGTAGAAGGTGCTCCAAGTACTTGGGCCCCTGCACCGTGTGGGAGACCTGGAAGAAGCTCCTGGCTTCGGATCGGCTCAGCTCTGGCTGTTGTGGCCATTTGGGGAGTGAACCAGTGGATGGAAGACCTTTCTCTCTTTCTCCCTCTCACTGTCTGTCACTCTACCTCTCAAATAAATAAATAAAAATCTTTAAAAAAAAAATAAGTTTACTATGGTGCAAAATATTCTGAAATCCATGCATACAAGGTGTCTACCAAATATTCTTGGAAAATTTGTATTATGAAAAAACTGAATGTAAAATTTTTGCGCAATAATAAGCCTATTTTAATTCCATTTTTCCATGAACTTTTTTAATTCCTTCATAGGGTCTCAGTTGCTTAATAATCTATGTCAGCTCTGTGCTGAGCACTGGGGGTAAGAGGAGGACAGATTATGATCAAGAATAAAATAGCTATATAAATGCAGTACCTTCTCCAGAAAGCATACGACTTTGTTCTTAGTTTCTTCAGAACTGATACACTGTGGAACTATGTCTTCATGATTTGTTCCCTATTAAAAAGTGGGTAAACAAGACCAATTTTCATAACTTTGAGCAACTTGCAAAGACAAATACATGACTTTTAAGAATTGCCTTAATTAAAAATTCACTTTAATGCAAAGTAGTGCCAGAGGATACTCAAAGATGGTATGTTCACAGTTCTTTTAGGGTGCACAGGGAAACACATTAACCTGTACACATTTAGAATTGCAAGCTTTCCTGCTGTGCAGTCACACTACTGCCTCTGCACTCCTTATGACTACACAGCAAGAGGTCAGATAAAGCAGCAACCTATGGCAGGAGTTGCTTTCTCTAAGAACTGAACTAACAGGTTGAGGTTGATAATGAAAGGTATCATCACTCAACCCAAAACTACTATCTGGAAGACTGCCTGCCGTGAATATCTCTTGTAGTTTCAGTTCTCTGGGCCTCATTTCGAAATCTTGTTAAAAAAAAATCAGTAATGTCCCCACCAGCAGAATATTTTATAATTAAAAATACAGAAGCAGCAGCTCAAGAAATGCTGACATGCTTTTTGGAGGTCACTGTGATAAATCAGTTTTTACAATTACCTCAGCAAACAGAGTGAATGCCTCCAGGGCGTGTTGTTCTATCAGCCAGTTCCTCTCAGAGAGCAGCAAGGCAAAGATGCAAGACAGGTTGGGCAGAATTTTGTCCTAAGGAGAATGAAACCTTATTAGAGGAATCTGAGTGGAATACATTCAGTATGCTCAATGTTGTCAAGTTTTCAGGGTCTTGTCCCTGGAACACGTATTAGAGCGTCATGTCACTTCTGAACTCCGTACCATGGCTTGCCCGGCTCCATGTGCAGGCTTCTAGTGCTCCTCTGCATCTACCAGGCATGCTCCTGTCCCACAGGATTTGCACACGCTGTGTCCTGTGTGTGGAAGGGCCCCCAGGCAGCGCGTGGCTTGCTTCCCTTACTTACGTGTCGCCTCAGGGATGTCCCAGACTACCCCACGTACGTATTCTTCATCCCTCCCTTCCCTGCTTTTTCCTCCATAGCACTTGCCACCATTAAATACAGTACAGACATTACCCTTATATACTGCCACCATCATAAATATGCTACATATATACATATACATAGCCATTCAAATTTTCTTTGATAGGTAAATGCACTTATCACAAGGCTTTAAATTATGCCTCTTATATGCTGATGAGTCCCCAAAATTTCTTTGGGTCCTGACCTCACCCCTGGGAATGTATAAGACATCAGTTTTTTATTTTTATTTTTAATATTTATAGACTCTGAGGTATCTAGTTAAGTGCAGCATGACACTATCTTTTATAGCATGAATCTAAATTATTATTTCTACTTATGTGAAAGGCAGATTTCAGAGACACACATAGACACACAAAAAGAGCTTCCATCCACTGGTTCACTCCCCAAATGCCTGCAACTGCCAGGCCTAGCTGAAAAGAGGTCAGAACCCAATTTAGATCTCCCACAAGGGTGGTAGGGACTCGAGTGCTTGAGCCATCACCTACTGCCTCCAAAGGCACACATTAGCAGGAAGGTGGACTCGCAAGGGGACTTGAACCCAGGCACCCTGTATAGGATGTGGGCATCCCAAGCGGTAGCTGAACTATGGCACTAGACGCCTGCCCCAAAACATTGTAGTTTCCGATAATACTTGTATAACATTTATTCCATAGGTCTCAGCCCATGCAGGGTTGCCAGATAGGTACAGATTAATTAGCATTTCAGAATAAGCTTATTTTTTGGTTTAAAAGAGGACACATCAAATCCAAGTATCTCTGGGTACTTTTGTGAAGAGACCTGAAGAAAAGCTATCAACATCTACACTTACCTTGTTAAACATTACCTTACGTGTAATTTATTTATGAAATTTTAAAAAACTTTAGAATTGATCAGTTATGTTTTTAGATTTAAAGATTTTAATCACATGTGCTGTCTTCTACTATGTTTGGTTCTATTACATGAGAAAATTCTCATCAGTGAGTTCTTTTTGCATTCTCTCCCTTGAGAGTAAAAAAAAGTCAACTATCTAGAACTGTTGGGCTTTGACTATAGTAAAAAGGAAGGCAGAACTCTCAATTTAGGAGGATCTCTGCTGTGAGGTCTGTCTTGAAAGTCAACAGACACATATAG